TTATTATTTATTGATTCATTAAAAATTAAAGTTGAGATGCATGCCAATAGAGATAGGTTTTCTCTGTTCCCAGCAGAATGTTTTATTTATTTAACTTGAATGATACGAAATATAGCATGCGTTAAACTCTCACCGGCCACTTTATTAGGTACACCTTACTAGTACCGGGTTGGACCCCCTTTTGTCTTCATGGCATGGATTCAATAAGGTACTGAAAATATTTTGGTCCATACTGACATGGTATAAAAAGATTTGTCGGCTCCGCATCCATGATGCAACTCATCCGTTCCACCACCACCCAAAGGTGCTCTATTGAATTGAGTTCTGGTGACTATGGAGGCCATTTGAGTACAGTGAACTCATTCTCATGTTCAGGAATCAAGTCTGAGATGATTTATGCTTTATGACATGGTGTGTTATTCTGCTGGAAGTAACCATCCAAAAATAGGTACACTGTGGTCATAAAGCTATGGACTTGGTCAGCAACAAAACTCAAGTAGGCTGTGGTGTTGACGATGCTCAATTGGTACTAACGGGTTTTAAGTGCCAAGAAAATATCCCCCACACCATTACACCATCACCACCACCGGCCTAAACCGTTGATGCTAGGCAGGATGGATCCATGCTTTTATGTTGTTGTTGCCTCAATTTCCTGTTCTTAGCTGACAGGAGTGGCATCCGGTGTGGTCTTCTGCTGCTGTAGCCCATCCGCCTCAAGGTTGGACGTGTTGTGTGCTCAGAGGTGCTCTTCTGCATAACTCGGTTGTAACAAATGCTTACTTAAGTTACTGTTGCCTTTCTATCTGCTCGAACCAGTCTGGCCATTCTCCTCTGAACTCTGGCATCAACAAGACATTTACGATCAGCAGTTTCTGAAATACTCAGACTGGCCTCTCTGGCACCAACAACCATGCCACATTCAAAGTAACTTAAATCACCTTTCTTCCCCATTCTGATGCTCGGTTTGAACTGCAGCAGATCATCTTGACCATGTTTACATCCTTAAATGCATTGAGTTACTGCCATGTGATTGGTTGATTAGAAATTTATGTTAATGAGCAGTTGGTGAGTGTATATACACAACACTTTAAAATTAATCTTTTTTTTTTCTTGTCTTGTCTGAGAAATGCATTCAAATATCTCCTTTTGCGTTTCACATAAAAAAACTAAATTATTCAGGTTTAGTACAAAATAACAACGCATAAATAATGGTTTCAAGTGTTCGTTCTAGGATGTAGAGACAGCACCTGCCTGTAACAAACTGTCCAATGAATCAGAAAGATTCTGACATAATATTATAATGCTGTGATAATACTGTACTCACGTTTTGTTTTGTTTTTTTCCTGTTTTTATTCCCTCGATCATATCCATTTTTTCCTGTTACTTCCAGTCTGCGTTAGAGATGGCTCTGGTCAAGAAAACCTCCACTTTTTACAAATGTATATAGAATTAAAAATATTGCACAAATATTTTATTCAGAGCAAGTATAACCAATATAACCAATAAATATAATATTTGTTTTCTTTAAACATTGTTAAATTATCTAACTTTTCCATAAGTAAAAATGATTGTTAGCTTTTTTGATGCAAATAAAAAATTTGATTGTTAAAAATTAAATCAAATAAATAATAATAGATTTTATCATTTAAAGGAACAGTTCCCCTAAAACTGAAAATGGTCTTCCTTCATTCTAGCTTCACTTGATCCAAACCAGTTTGAGCTTCTTTCTTCTGTTGAACACAAAAGAAGAAATTCTGAAGAAAGCTGGAAACCTGCAACTATTGACTTCCATAGCATTTGTTTTTCCGACTATTAATGTCAGAGGTTACAGGTGTCCAACATTCTTCTAAATATCTTCTTTTGTGTTTAACAAAAATTTTTTTTATAAAGATTCGGAACCACTTGAGAGTGAGTAAATAAACCCAAACTAAAAAAATAAAAAATTAAATTAAATAAACTGAAAAAATAAAAATAAACTGAATTTAAATTGTGGTCTCACAAATTTGGCACCACAAATTATTATTTAAACAGATTAAAATTTGAATTCATATGCCAGACATTAAAATTCACTTACAGCACACTCACTTGTATATATGGTTTACGAGGACTTCTATAGTTGTAATGTATTTTATATTGCAAAAAACCCTTTTTAGATGGCCTTACCCTAGCCCTAACCCCAACCCACAAGAGAAACAGGGCACATTTTAAAAGTAAATACCCCATTAAATATGATTGTTGAGCAATTTGTTTGACATGTCTTCATAAACCACCTTAATACAGTACAACTAGGCCATACCCATATAATTACTATTCGTTTTTATTATTTGCCCTCATAAATCACATAAACAAGTCCACACACGCCAGCATAATATATATTGCCGCTTGATCAAACTGCAAATTAAAATAAGCTTTTTTGGGGACATTCATTCATTCATTTTCCTTTTTAGTCTCTATTCAGAGGTTGCCACAGCGGAATGAACCACCAAATATTCCAGCATTTGTTTTACAGTCCCGCAACAGAGTATTAGGAAACATCCATAGACACTCATTCACACAAACACACACACATTCATACACTACGGCCAATTTAGTTTATTCAACTCACCTACAGCGCATATCTTTGGACTGTGGGGGAAACCAGAGCACTCAGAGGAAACCCACACCAACATGGGGAGAACATGCAAAGTCCACACAGAAATGCCAACTAGCCCAGCCGGGACTTAAACCAGCGACCTCCTTGTTGTGAGGCTACCCTGTTCCCTGAACCCTGCTGTCCCTTTTTTAGGCTTAATAATTTTAAGTTCAATCCACTTAAATTTGTTATCTCCATTGATTTTTTTTATTGGGACAATATGAATGAATTGTGCGGGAGCCCTGAATTTTTACAGTGTACCATAGGTCATACCCTAATGCAGGGGTGGGCAAACTCGGTCCTGGAGGGCCGGTGTCCTGCATAGTTTAGCTGCAACGCTAATCAAACACACCTGAACAAGCTAATCAGTGTCTTCAAGATCACTAGAAACCTATAAGCAGGTGTGTTTGATTAGAGTAGGAGCTAAACTGTGTAGGACACCGGCCCTCCAGGACAGAGTTTGCCCATCACTGCCCTAATGTCATTACACAAATCTGTTTCCTCATAAACCACTTAAAACAATCACACACACACACACACATCATCATCATCATCATCATCATCATCGCCTCTAAAAGTCAGTTTCGTCACTTTATTAAACGAGTTCAATTCATTCTGACAAGCTCTCTCCATTTATCTCTCTCTTTGTTTCGGGACAGGATTCCCCAGGGCCAAAACATTGAGGCGGAAAGTTCCAACAATTAACCAAAAAAAAAAAAAAAAGGTAATAAGCTAACATTTGCATGGCAGGTTTAAGGCAGAGACTAAAGGGAAGGCAGGATTACAAGTGCAATGAAGAGGAAGAGACTTTGCAGGCTGCTCTCCATTCATTGAACAAGCCTTAAAGGGAAGGAAAATAAACTTTAAAAGCCAACTGCACATATAGATAGATCTATAATAAAATAAATAACTCACATTTTTCAAAGAGCACACATACATGATGCTGTGGGCTTGATTCACAGATGTCCGATTAAAGAGTAAACACATTTCCCGTGTCTTTGAGGCTTCACGCCAGATTGGCAAGAAGCGCCACAAAGAGTTGCAGTGTTTCAAGCAGCCGTTTAATTCATGAACACAGACCATATGAGCATGGCTTCTAGTGCACGTTTACAAAAAATGTGCTCCAATTGCCAAGCGGAGAACAAAGATCAACATGACCCTATTGGACATGAACCTTGAGGTTTGCTTTCAAAAATCAACTTTAGAGCTTATGAACTGACATACAGTACGCAATATGTAGATGCACTAACCGGCCACTTTAATAGGTACAACTTACTAATACCCACGTCTGCCTTCAGAACTGCCTTAATCCTTCGTGGCAGAGATTCAACAAGGTACTGGGAATATTCCTCAGAGATCTTGGTCCATATTGGCATGATAGCATCACGCAGTTGCTGCAGATTTGTCGGCTGCACATCCATGGTGCGAATCCCCATTCCTCTAAATCTCAAAGGTGCTCTATTGGATTGAGTTCTGGTGATTGTGGAGGCCATTTGAGTACAGTGAACTCATTGACATGAAACCAGTCTGAGACAATTCTCACTGACATGGCGTATTTTCCTGCTTGAAATAGCCATCAGAAGATGGATACACTGTGTTCATAAAGGGATGGACATCAATACTCAGGTAAGCTGTGGCGTTGACACAATGCTCAATTGGTACTTATGGGCCTAAAGTGTGCCAAGAAAATATCCCGTCACCATTACACTACCGCCACCAGCCTGACACATTCATACAAGGTAGAAGGAATTCATGCTTTCATGTTGTTGACGTCAAATTCTGACCCAACCATCCGAATGTTGCAGCAGAATTTGAGACTCATCAGACCAGGTAACGTCTATCCAATCTTCTATTGTCCAATTTTGGTGAGCCTGTGCGAATTGTAGCCTTAGTTTCCAGTTCTTAGCTGATAGGAGTGATACCCAGTGTGATCTCCTGCTGCTGTAGCCCATCCGCTTCCGCAGCAGATCGCCTTGACCATGCCTAAATGCATTAAGTTGCTGCCATGTGATTGGCTGATTAGAAATTAGCGGTAACAAGCAGGTGTACCTAATAAAGTGGCCGGCAAGTGTATATTTAGCAGTATTTCACAAAAAAAACTGAAACTTTCAACCTCAACATTACAGTGCAAAGCAATAAATACTGTTTAGGACAAACAAAACAGACATTAACGGTTATTTGGAAACTTATAAAAGACAGCCCAAGAGAGATGAAGGGAGAGAAAGACATAGACGGAAGAGAAACAGAAGTGGCACAGTATTTACATCTTACACAGGGCTTAAAAGCCAAACTATATTTACATATAGAAGAGTGTATGAATGTACACCCACCGAACAAGATAAACAGAAGAACAGCAGGAACAAGGAAAGATGGAAGTAGGGCTCCTGAGGGCCTCAGAATAGAGTTTATTACTAACAGACATGTTCTCAAGTAAAGAAATCGATATGATTGACCATCTGACGTTAAGAACTCATGTGCTGATTCACAAACTAGTATTGTTCTACCACAAAGGCCTTCAAATGGTAGGAATAGCTTAATGTACTATAAAAATGATTGCTAAAACAGAAAAAACACTGAATTATGATGCGTGGTGGAGTCTTCAGACCGTCGTTTGAAAATGACTTTGAACGGAAGAAGACTTTGTAATCTCACAAGCATAAATTAAGCCTAGACCTGGAGCATCATTAAGGGCTAATGATAATTAAACGTCCAGGAATATAAAGTCACTTCAGTTCGGTACAATAAAATGAATATGCTATTGGCTTGCATACATCGTTCCTTCCCTTCTTTGTGGTCAACAATAATGTCGAACGTTTCCCCAAACTGCTCTGTGGAATTATTACATGTATGCCTTCTCAAAAGTTCGTCTGAATGACTGGTTGAATTAAAATAATAAATATATTCACCAGAAAAAAAAGATATTATTCTCCTGTTTTAAAAAATACAATAAAATAACTGTAAAAAACCACCACGTTTAAGTCTCGCCTCTTTGACACTTACAACAAGATAAATCATCTACAATGACAGCTTGTTCCCCTTCAAAACATATTTGACCTCGCATAATAACGAAAAAGACGAGCGTTCAAGGGGAAACATCCACCGTAAATGACGATTTCAATAAATTAAGATTTTAAAATAATAATAAAATTAGAGGACCCGCCCCTAGCCACTGATAACCAATCATATCTGAGCGCCAAAACACACAATATGGATGCACGTGAGCTTTTCTACGCAGCCGCTTGGAGCTCTCCCCAGACTGACTACCTCTATTATCTGAAGCACATATTAGCGGTATTACTCTGTTTGCGGTTGCGTGTACATGGCAGTGTGTGTGTACAGTATGTTTGACCAACAGTCAGCAAACACAGGGCTGTGTGCAGTGACTCCTGAATCGGTCTGTAAATGTGTGGAGCAAGAAGCCGTGGATGAGGTATTGAGAGTGTGAGACTGTGAGTGTGTTTGTGTGTGTTGTGGTGGCTCAGATGCTGTGGTGTGTTTTGTGGGTTTTTATGAGTCTCAGGTGCTGTTGGTCAGGGTAGATCCGGGCTGTACGGAGCCTTCAGAGCCATCTGGATGAGAAGAGAAAGAGGACAAAACACACAGAGAACCATTAAATATGGCATTTGTCCGTGTGATTGGCAAAACAGAAATCTTGCATGTATTAAATGCGTAAAATGACAAATACACCATCATTTAAAAGTTGAAACAAATGGTTACTTGTGCTGAACTGATCAAAAGTGTCAGTAGAGACATTAGCTGTTTCCATTTAAAATGCTAATGAAATTTAGGCGCAAAACTGGATTATTGCATAAAAGACGTGCGACTAAATCAGCGTTTCCATCAAAGAGAATAAAATCGTCACTTCCTGATTATTTTGCTCCAAGTATCAACAGTAAAAATGGAATTTGCAGCAGTAGGAGAAGCTGCGTTAATCTTTTCTTTATTTAATAAACGACTTGCGCCTCAGAAGACAATGCTGATACGCAATCAATGCGTGGTAGTGTTTAAAGGCGCGAGACGTGGAGCAGACGCTCTGGACAGTTCTGGAGGTCATTAATAATCTAATAATACTGATACTAAAACGGTTAAGGCGTTTCAGAATGACCAAAATAACATTTACGATGTTTTACAATGTGCACATGATCTCTTTTGGACCGTTTCCACTAAATGGTACGGTATGGTACAGTACGGTTTTATTGCCGTTTCCACCATCAAAATAGTACCAAAAAGCGAACCGTATGGTACTACTTTTTGGGTACCTTTCTAAAGGGTACCTAGCTCAACAAAAGGGTACCAAAAGGCGGAGCAAGATACTCAACTTGAATGCTATTGGTTTACAGAGATTCGTCACTCGGTCATGCACAAGCGAGAAAAATTTAAACAAATGAAGCGCCATTTTTAAATACACAGCTAAGACATTACACCGTAATAATATATACATAAAACAAGAAGCCAAGGTTGACCCGAGCTTAAACAAACCTTGTCGTCGTCGTTAACAGCCACAAAGCCAAGAAGAAGTTGTTTACAAGGCCAAAGCGGTTTCGCTCTATATTTGAAATAACAAACTTCTTGAGCTGGTCATAATAACGTGCGCGTGATTATTGAAGTGCTTCTGACACTCGACTCTTTCAGAAACGGACAAGCACGAGAGGGATTATCGAAGACTGTAAGGGTCTGTAAGTGTTCATTTATGTTGTATTTATTTATTTATTTATTTGATATAATCGCAGACGTTACAGTAGGTTATTTTGCACATCATTGATCTGCAGTTAAAATCAAATCTTGTTTATAGAAAGGTTAGTAATGAACTATTGGTATCCTTTAGGCAGTGGAAACGCAAGCCTTATACAGGTGACCCATATCGTACCGTACTGTACCACTCAGTGACATCGCGCCATTATAACATGACTTTTTTTAATGCGCATACTAGAAATTGTTAGGTAAAAGTGTTTCCATTGTAGTTTATGCACATTTTATCTTCTTGAATATAAAGTTTATCCTACTCAATTATGCGCGTCAGCTTTTTATGCGCATTTTCAAAATGTATGCAATATTGGTGTTTACATCATTTTTTTAATATGTTGTTAGAAACATAGCTACTGATAATGTTACAGAAGATTTCTATTTTAAATTAATGAAATGTTGTATGTATCCTGAGGGGAAAATAAAATTAAGCAGCACAACATTGTTTTCAACATTGATTACAATAAAAGAAGGACATAAAATCAATAACCTAAACAGTCAAGTAGTGCATTAATTCAAAGAAATGTTCTCTGATATCCACATAGTAGGTTTGTGGGTTAGGCAAGTAAAAAAATTCTGCAGAAATGGTATCATATGCTTATTATAAATAACCATAGAAATTACCCTTAGAATCAGAAGCTCAGGGTTGCTCATATTTAGGATGGGAAATTTCACAATATACATTGTTAAACAAACAAAAGATACATTTAAACAGACCTTCTACCTCTTCGGAGTGGTGCTGAATAAATGTACAATCCATATATCCTGCATTTTGCATACTGACGTGCATGTAAACAGATGGCTGAGTGAGAAGTACAAACTGGATTGTCCATGTTGCTAAGCAATTAATAGAAAACAATGCAAAAACTTGTGATGCTCGCTGGGTTTTAGTTGCTCTGCCTTAACCGTTTTCAAAATAAGAGTTCCACATACATAGTAAGCATAATAAAATTTTAGATAAAATTAAAAATATGGGAAAAATGGCGATCATTGCTGTAAACTTACTAGAAAATGTTAAGGCCAATCAAACTTAATCTGGATTGTGCATATTAGTGAACCCATGTGCAATGATACAGTCAGGGTTGTTCCGATAGGTTATATGCACAGCTTGTGTTATTTCCGCTACCGATAAACTTGTGAACGGTTAATGTGACTTTATTTACTTTTATACAGTTCTTTTTATAGCCTCAATGTTGTAATGTATTAGCAATTTACTCAGCTATATAGATATAAGCATTCAATTACTTGTTAAAGCGTAAAACAAGACATGCACTTGACATCAAGATCAGTAGGGAGAGCAGAAATTCGCTTTGAAAATACTGCCACAAAACAAATTTTTGTTTTTAATGATATGGGGAGAAAAATTAAATTTAATTCAGTGTTTCTTGCACATTTTGAGACCCACTTTAAAATCAAATATCAATCAGAAAGTGAAGATCGTTGATTTTTTTTATAAAAAACAGATGACACAGTTCACCGGAAGGGTTTTAACCAGGTTACAAAAACTTAAATGTCCGTCTGCCTTTACCCTATTGTCTTTTTTTCTACTGGGACTTCACACTCACAGTATTTATATGAGAATGAGGAAACAATGGTGTTTGAAGCTCCATGTAATAGAATAACTATTTAGCTATGCTGATGTGAATCCAGATTCTGATGATATGGCATTCTTAAAGTAAAAATTTTAAACTACAGAAAAACATTACTCTAATAAAAGGTATTAAGTGGCTCTAATCAAGTCAGACATTACATGAGGTAGGGTCACACAATATATCGCCAGCCATATCGATATCGGCAGAGAAATGCTACTTTTATTGTTATCGTTATTGGTCTGATATGAAAAATAGGTCGATATCTATAAGCCGACGAATTATGTAATTATACAGAACTTCTTGTCTTGTAAGCACGAGAGAATCTTAAAGGAGTGCAGTAAAAAAAAATGTCTAATGACAAACAATTGTACATTACTGTAACTCTTTTTATTCGAGAACATTTCAGCTGGTTTTAGTTCTTAGTTCTTTCATTTTCGTTTTCATTTTATTTAAAATATATTTATTTAACTTGTTGATTAAATCCACTTTTGTCCTTTTACCCTTTTATTTTTATGCAACAGTCAAGTCGCATGTTAATTTGCTATGCGTAGAAAAGAAAATAATCTATTTTTGGCATGCTGATTTATGTGAAATGATCTGAGATGGGAGGTAATGAAATACAAATACTTTGTTACTGTACTTAAGTAGATTTTTACAGTATCGGTACTTTACTCCACTACTTATTTTTCTGACAACTTTTTACTTTTACTTCTTACATTTTTACACAAATATCTGTACTTTCTACTTCTTACATTTTTTAAACCACGGTTGTTATTTTCATTTTCATGTGTTTGGTAGCGTGATCTATATTATTTCTGGTCATTGCGTAATGTGAACACAGTTTTGATGCAGTCAGTCTATTTCTCCTCATTGTGCGCCTGCATGCTGCACTGCATGGTCTTTTCAAGGCTATCGCGCACTGTACGTGGGCTAGTTCATGAAGATTACTATGAGAAAGGCTAAGATGACTACGCAGATGTGACAGAGGGGCGAATCTAACATCACCAATGCTGCCCTGTTTACACAGGAATAAGACACCTTTTGCTTGTTCGGATCACAGGTAGACAAGAGATACACATTCCAGTTCAAAAGCATGCCATTTTTGATTAAGCCTTTCGTCCACTTCTGACTGCACAGGCTTCTCTGGTCTTTCAATCTAATATCATGAAAATTTGTGTTTTTTGTAAAGATTGTACATTTAGTACTAAAACAATCAAAGCTTTATTTAAAAAAAATGATGCATTGGTTTATTTCCTTTATTTCTGATAAGTTTATTTTCCTAATACAGAATTTATGCTGTTTTTCAGTTTTTATAGATTTTTTTATCTGCCTATGGATTTTACATAGGGCTATACTGTTGTCCTCAATTAATATTTTTATAACAAATATTTTTCAACAACACATGCAAGTATACTGGGCAATTTATGAATAAATATATAATTATTCCAGCATATGTTTTACACTGCGAATACCTTTCTATCTGCAACCCAGTACTAGGAAACACCCATACACATTCACACACGCACTTATACTCTGCCAGTTTAGTTGAAATATTAATCACCTAAACCGCATTTCTTTGGGCCTGTGGTTTAAACAGGTACTTTTTACTTTTGTATATTTTTCGGGTAATACTTCTTTACTTTTACTTAAGTACAAAAGTGTAGTCAGTACTTCAACTTTTACCAGAGTCTTTTTAAGCATGAGTATCTGTACTTCTACTCAAGTAAAGGATGTGTGTACTTTTGCCATCTCTGGAAATAATGAATATAGGTTTATATAATCACAATTTTGATATTATTGCTTTTTTGTTTGCTTTGAGTGTGCTATTTTAAGTTTTTTAAATAAAATAAGTTGCTCGCCGTACAAAAATAGAACATTTAAAAATATTTATCGGTTAATACATTGGTTATCGGCCACTAAATGTAAAGATTATCGGTTATCGGTCCAAAAATTCATATCGGTGCATTTCTTACATAAGGAATTATCAAAAGCAAGGAAAGTTACTAGTCCATGAAAGACAATAAAAAAGCATTTTGCTCAATAGAATAAATGCATAGTAACACTTTACTATTGGTTCACATTAATGCATTAAATAACATTATATAGTATTCATTAATCTTTGTTAACGTTAGCTAAAAGTATGGATGTTTATTGTTCATGTTAGTTGAACATTAAAAAAAATAATAGATGCTTCTTATTTATATTCGTATGTCTGCTCATGACAGCTAATGAGGTAAAACGTTAACTAACCGTAAAGTGTTACTAAATGCATTGGTGAATCGTGCACACTAACACGACAAGAGGAGTTTATTAACATTAAGTGAATGAGGTCACTTATGATTTAATGTTGTCAGTGAGAAGGATAACAGCTTTACCGTTGGATGATGCTACGGTTTGTGCGCGGGCATGCGGTGGAATGAGAGTGGAATTGAGCTGCGGCTGAATCATCAGCTCTGAAATAAAGAGAAACACACTCTGTTGACAGATCTCCAAGTGGAACAAACAACGGAGCAGAAATATCAAATGCTCAGATTCACACGCTATCCCTGGGCTACCCTGTTCCCTGAACCCTGCTGTCCCTTTTTTGGGCTTAATAATTTTAAGTTCAATCCACTTAAATTTGTTATCTCCATTGATTTTTTTTTATTGGGACAATATAAATGAATTGTGCGGGACCCCTGAATTTTTACAGTGTATCATAGGTCATACCCTAATGCAGGGGTGGGCAAACTCAGTCCTGGAGGGCCGGTGTCCTGCATAGTTTAGCTGCAATACTAATCAAACACACCTGAACAAGCTAATCAGTGTCTTCAAGATCACTAGAAACCTATAAGCAGGTGTGTTTGATTAGAGTTGGAGCTAAACTGTGTAGGACACCAGCCCTCCAGGACCGAGTTTGCCCATCACTGCCCTAATGTCATTACACAAATCTGTTTCCTCATAAACCACTTAAAACAATCACACACACACACACACATCATCATCATCATCATCATTGCCTCTAAAAGTCAGTTTCGTCACTTTATTAAACGAGTTCAATTCATTCTGACAAGCTCTCTCCATTCATCTCTCTCTTTGTTTCGGGACAGGATTCCCCAGGGCCAGAACATTGAGGCGGAAAGTTCCAACAATTAACCAAAAAAAAAAAAAAAGGTAATAAGCTAACATTTGCATGGCAGGTTTAAGGCAGAGACTAAAGGGAAGGCAGGATTACAAGTGCAATGAAGAGGAAGAGACTTTGCAGGCTGCTCTCCATTCATTGAACAAGCCTTAAAGGGAAGGAAAATAAACTTCAAAGCCAATTGCACATATAGATAGATCTATAATAAAATAAATAACTCACATTTTTCAAAGAGCACACATACATGATGCTGTGGGCTTGATTCACAGATGTCCGATTAAAGAGTAAACACATTTCCCGTGTCTTTGAGGCTTCACGCCAGATTGGCAAGAAGCGCCACAAAGAGTTGCAGTGTTTCAAGCAGCCGTTTAATTCATGAAAACAGACCATATGAGCATGGCTTCTAGTGCACGTTTACAAAAAATGTGCTCCAATTGCCAAGCGGAGAACAAAGATCAACATGACCCTATTGGACATGAACCTTGAGGTTTGCTTTCAAAAATCAACTTTAGAGCTTATGAACTGACATACAGTACGCAATATGTAGATGCACTAACCGGCCACTTTATTAGGTACAACTTACTAGTACCCACGTCTGCCTTCAGAACTGCCTTAATCCTTCGTGGCAGAGATTCAACAAGGTACTGGGAATATTCCTCAGAGATCTTGGTCCATATTGGCATGATAGCATCACGCAGTTGCTGCAGATTTGTCGGCTGCACATCCATGGTGCGAATCCCCGTTCCTCCACATCTCAAAGGTGCTCTATTGGATTGAGTTCTGGTGATTGTGGAGGCCATTTGAGTACAGTGAACTCATTGATATGAAACCAGTCTGAGACAATTCTCACTGACATGGCGTATTTTCCTGCTTGAAATAGCCATCAGAAGATGGATACACTGTGTTCATAAAGGGACGGACATCAATACTCAGGTAGGCTGTGGCGTTGATACAATGCTCAATTGGTACTTATGGGCCTAAAGTGTGCCAAGAAAATATCCCGTCACCATTACACTACCGCCACCAGCCTGACACATTCATACAAGGTAGAAGGAATTCATGCTTTCATGTTGTTGACGTCAAATTCTGACCCAACCATCCGAATGTTGCAGCAGAATTTGAGACTCATCAGACCAGGTAACGTCTATCCAATCTTCTATTGTCCAATTTTGGTGAGCCTGTGCGAATTGTAGCCTTAGTTTCCAGTTCTTAGCTGATAGGAGTGATACCCAGTGTGATCCCCTGCTGCTGTAGCCCATCCGCCTCCGCAGCAGATCGTCTTGACCATGCCTAAATGCATTAAGTTGCTGCCATGTGATTGGCTGATTAGAAATTAGCGGTAACAAGCAGGTGTACCTAATAAAGTGGCCAGCGAGTGTATATTTAGCAGTATTTCACAAAAAAAAACTGAAACTTTCAGCCTCAACATTACAGTGCAAAGCAATAAATACTGTTTAGGACAAACAAAACAGACATTAACGGTTATTTGGAAACTTATAAAAGACAGCCCAAGAGAGATGAAGGGAGAGAAAGACATAGACGGAAAAGAAACAGAAGTGGCACAGTATTTACATCTTACACAGGGCTTAAAAGCCAAACTATATTTACATATAGAAGAGTGTATGAATGTACACCCACCGAACAAGATAAACAGAAGAACAGCAGGAACAAGGAAAGATGGAAGTAGGGCTCCTGAGGGCCTCAGAATAGAGTTTATTACTAACAGACATGTTCTCAAGTAAAGAAATCGATATGATTGACCATCTGACGTTAAGAACTCATGTGCTGATTCACAAACTAGTATTGTTCTACCACAAAGGCCTTCAAATGGTAGGAATAGCTTAATGTACTATAAAAATGATTGCTAAAACGGAAAAAACACTGAATTATGATGCGTGGTGGAGTCTTCAGACCGTCGTTTGAAAATGACTTTGAACGGAAGAAGACTTTGTAATCTCACAAGCATAAATTAAGCCTAGACCTGGAGCATCATTAAGAGCTAATGATAATTAAACATCCAGGAATATAAAGTCACTTCAGTTCGGTACAATAAAATGAATATGCTATTGGCTTGCATACATCGTTCCTTCCCTTCTTTGTGGTCAACAATAATGTCGAACGTTTCCCCAAACTGCTCTGTGGAATTATTACATGTATGCCTTCTCAAAAGTTCGTCCGAATGAGTGGTTGAATTAAAATAATAAATATAATTACCAGAAAAAAAAAAGATATTATTCTCCTGTTTTTAAAAAATACAATAAAATAACTGTATAAAACCACCACGTTTAAGTCTCGCCTCTTTGACACTTACAACAAGATGCATCATCTACAATGACAGCTTGTTCCCCTTCAAAACATATTTGACCTCGCATAATGACGAAAAAGACGAGCGTTCAAGGGGAAACATCCACCGTAAATGACGATTTCAATAAATTAAGATTTTAAAATAATAGTAAAATTAGAGGACCCGCCCCTAGCCACTGATAACCAATCATATCTGAGCGCCAAAACACACAATATGGATGCACGTGAGCTTTTCTACGCAGCCGCTTGGAGCTCTCCTCAGACTGACTACCTCTATTATCTGAAGCACATATTAGCGGTATTACTCTGTTTGCGGTTGCGTGTACATGGCAGTGTGTGTGTACAGTATGTTTGACCAACAGTCAGCAAACACAGGGCTGTGTGCAGTGACTCCTGAATCGGTCTGTAAATGTGTGGAGCAAGAAGCCGTGGATGAGGTATTGAGAGTGTGAGACTGTGAGTGTGTTTGTGTGTGTTGTGGTGGCTCAGATGCTGTGGTGTGTTTTGTGGGTTTTTATGAGTCTCAGGTGCTGTTGGTCAGGGTAGATCCGGGCTGTACGGAGCCTTCAGAGCCATCTGGATGAGAAGAGAAAGAGGACAAAACACACAGAGAACCGTTAAATATGGCATTTGTCAGTGTAATTGGCAAAACAGAAATCTTGCATGTATTAAATGCGTAAAATGACAAATACACCATCATTCAAAAGTTGAAACAAATGGTTACTTGTGCTGAACTGATCAAAAGTGTCAGTAGAGACATTAGCTATGTTTCCATCTAAAAATGCTAATGAAATTTAGGCGCAAAACTGGATTATTGCATAAAAGACGTGCGACTAAATCAGCGTTTCCATCAAAGAGAATAAAATCGTCACTTCCTGATTATTTTGCTCCAAGTATCAACAGTAAAAATGGAATTTGCAGCAGTAGGAGAAGCAGCATGAATCTTTTCTTTATTTAATAAACGACTTGCGCCTCAGAAGACAATGCTGATACGCAATCAATGCGTGGTAGTGTTTAAAGGCGCGAGACGTGGAGCAGACGCTCTGGACAGTTCTGGAGGTCATTAATAATCTAATAATACTGATACTAAAACGGTTAAGGCGTTTCAGAATGACCAAAATAACATTTACGATGTTTTACAATGTGCACATGATCTCTTTTGGACCGTTTCCACTAAATGGTACGGTATGGTACAGTGCGGTTTTATTGCCGTTTCCACCATCAAAATAGTACCAAAAAGCGAACCGTACGGTACTACTTTTTGGGTACCTTTCTAAAGGGTACCTAGCTCAACAAAAGGGTACCAAAAGGCGGAGCAAGATACTCAACTTGAATGCTATTGGTTTACAGAGATTCGTCACTCGGTCATGCACAAGCGAGAAAAATTAAAACAAATGAAGCGCCATTTTTAAATACACAGCTAAGACATTACACCGTAATAATATATACATAAAACAAGAAGCCAAGGTTGACCCGAGCTTAAACAAACCTTGTCGTCGTATTTATGAACAGCCACAAAGCCAAGAAGAAGTTGTTTACAAGGCCAAAGCGGTTTCGCTCTATAGTTGAAATAACAAACTTCTTGAGCTGGTCATAATAACGTGCGCGTGATTATTGAAGTGCTGCCGACACTCGACTCTTTCAGAAACGGACAAGCACGAGAGGGATTATCGAAGACTGTAAGGGTCTGTAAGTGTTCATTTATGTTGTATTTATTCATTTATTTATTTGATATAATCGCAGACGTTACAGTAGGTTATTTTGCGCATCATTGATCTGCAGTTATAATCAAATCTTGTTCATAGAAAGGTTAGTAATGAACTATTGGTATCCTTTAGGCAGTGGAAACGCAAGCCTTATAAAGGTGACCCATACCGTACCGTACTGTACCACTCAGTGACATTGCGCCATTATAACATGACTTTTTTTAATGCGCATGCTAGAAATTGTTCGGTAAAAGTGTTTCCATTGTAGTTTATGCACATTTTATCTTATTGAATATAAAGTTTATCCTACTCAATTATGCGCGTCAGCTTTTTATTTTCAAAATGTATGCAATATTGGCGTTTACATCATTTATTTTATATGTGGTTAGAAACATAGCTACTGATAATGTTACAGAAGATTTCTATTTTAAATTAATGAAATGTTGTATTTGTCCTGAGGGGAAAATAAAATTAAGCAGCAAAACATTGTTTTCAACATTGATTACAATAAAAGAAGGACATAAAATCAATAACCTAAACAGTCAAGTAGTGCATTAATTCAAAGAAATGTTCTCTATATCCACATAGTAGATTTGTGGGTTAGGCAAGTGAAACAATTCTGCAGAAATGGTATCATATGCTTATTATAAATAACCATAGAAATTACCCTTAGAATCAGAAGCTCAGGGTTGCTCATATTTAGGATGGGAAATTTCACAATATACATTGTTAAACTAACAAAAGATGCATTTAAACAGACCTTCTACCTCTTCGGAGTGGTGCTGAATAAATGTACAATCCATATATCCTGCATTTTGCATACTGACGTGCATGTAAACAGATGGCTGAGTGAGAAGTATAAACTGGATTGTCCATGTTGCTAAGCAATTAATAGAAAACAATGCAAAAACTTGTGATGCTCGCTGGGTTTTAGTCCCTCTGCCCTAACCGTTTTCAAAATAAGAGTCCCACATACATAGTAAGCATAATAAAATTTTAGATAAAATTAAAAATATGGGAAAAATGGTGATCACTGCTGTAAACTTACTAGAAAATGTTAAGGCCAATCAAACTTAATCTGGATTGTGCATATTAGTGAACCCATGTGCAATGATACAGTCAGGGTTGTTCCGATTGTTCCGACAGCTTGTGTTATTTCCGCTACCGATAAACTTGTGAACGGTTAATGTGACTTTATTCACTTTTATACAGTTCTTTTTATAGCCTCAATGTTGTAATGTATTAGCAATTTACTCAGCTTTATAGATATAAGCATTCAATTACTTGTTAAAGCGTAAAACAAGACATGCACTTGACATCAAGATCAGTAGGGAGAGCAGAAACTCGCTTTGAAAATACTGCCGCAAAACAAATTTTCGTTTTTAATGATATGGGGCGGAAAAATGAAATTTAATTCAGTGTTTCTTGCACATTTTGAGACCCACTTTAAAATCAAATATCAATCAGAAAGTGAAGATCGTTGATTTTTTTTATAAAAAACAGATGACACAGTTCACCGGAAGGGTTTTAACCAGGTTACAGAAACTTAAATGTCCGTCTGCCTTTACCCTATTGTCTTTTTTTCTACTGGGACTTCACACTCACAGTATTTATATGAGAATGAGGAAACAATGGTGTTTGAAGCTCCATGTAATAGAATAACTATTTAGCTATGCTGATGTGAATCCAGATTCTGATGATATGGCATTCTTAAAGTAAAAATTTTAAACTACAGAAAAACATTACTCTAATAAAAGGTATTAAGTGGCTCTAATCAAGTCAGACATTACATGAGGTAGGGTCGCACAATATATCGCCAGCCATATCGATATCGGCAGAGAAATGCTACTTTTATTGTTATCGTTATTGGTCTGATATGAAAAATACAGAACTTCTTGTCTTGTAAGCACGAGAGAATCTTAAAGGAGTGCAGTAAAAAAAAATGTCTAATGACAAACAATTGTACATTACTGTAACTCTTTTTATTCGAGAACATTTCAGCTGGTTTTAGTTCTTAGTTCTTTCATTTTCGTTTTCATTTTATTTAAAATATATTTATTTAACTTGTTGATTAAATCCACTTTTGTCCTTTTACCCTTTTATTTTTATGCAACAGTCAAGTCGCATGTTAATTTGCTATGCGTAGAAAAGAAAATAATCTATTTTTGGCATGCTGATTTATGTGAAATGATCTGAGATGGGAGGTAACGAAATACAAATACTTTGTTACTGTACTTAAGTAGATTTTTACAGTATCGGTACTTTACTCCACTACTTATTTTTCTGACAACTTTTTACTTTTACTTCTTACATTTTTGCACAAATATCTGTACTTTCTACTTCTTACATTTTTTTAAACCACGGTCGTTATTTTCATTTTCATGTGTTTGGTAGCGTGATCTATATTATTTCTGGTCATTGCGTAATGTGAACACAGTTTTGATGCAGTCAGTCTATTTCTCCTCATTGTGCGCCTGCGTGCTGCACTGCATGGTCTTTTCAAGGCTATCGCGCTCTGTACGTGGGCTAGTTCATGAAGATTACTATGAGAAAGGCTAAGATGACTACGCAGATGTGACAGAGGGGCGAATCTAACATCACCAATGCTGCCCTGTTTACACGGGAATAAGACGACTTTTGCTTGTTCGGATCACAGGTAGACAAGAGATACACATTCCAGTTCAAAAGCATGCCATTTTTGATTAAGCCTTTCGTCCACTTCTGACTGCACAGGCTTCTCTGGTCTTTCAATCTAATATCGTGAAAATTTGTGTTTTTCTGTAAAGATTGTACATTTAGTACTAAAACAATCAAATACTTTATTTAAAAAAATGATGCATCACGGTTTATTTCTGATAAGTTTATTTTCCTAATACAGAATTTATGCTGTTTTTCAGTTTTTATAGATTTTTTTATCTGCCTATGGATTTTACATAGGGCTATACTGTTGTCCTCAATTAATATTTTTTTAACAAATATTTTTCAACAACACATGTAAGTATACTGGGCAATTTATGAATAAATATATAATTATTCCAGCATATGTTTTACACTGCGAATACCTTTCTATCTGCAACCCAGTACTAGGAAACACCCATACACATTCACACACGCACTTATACTCTGCCAGTTTAGTTGAAATATTAATCACCTAAACCGCATTTCTTTGGGCCTGTGGTTTAAACGGGTACTTTTTACTTTTGTATATTTTTCGGGCAATACTTCTTTACTTTTAATTAAGTACAAAAGTGTAGTCAGTACTTCAACTTTTACCAGAGTCTTTTTAAGCATGAGTATCTGTACTTCTACTCAAGTAAAGGATGTGTGTACTTTTGCCATCTCTGGAAATAATGAATATAGGTTTATATAATCACAATTTTGATATTATTGCTTTTTTGTTAGCTTTGAGTGTGCTATTTTAAGTTTTTTAAATAAAATAAGTTGCTCGCCGTACAAAAATAGAACATTTAAAAATATTTATCGGTTAATACATTGGTTATCGGCCTCCAAATGTAAAGGTTATCGGTTATCAGTCCTAAAATTCACATCGGTGCATTTCTTACATAAGGAATTATCAAAAGCAAGGAAAGTTACTAGTCCATGAAACACAATAAAAAAGCATTTTGCTCAATAGAATAAATGCATAGTAACACTTTACTATTGGTTCACATTAATGCATTAAATAACATTATATAGTATTCATTAATCTTTGTTAACGTTAGCTAAAAGTATGGATGTTTATTGTTCATGTTAGTTGAACATTAAAAAAATAATAGATGCTTCTAATTTATATTCGTATGTCTGCTCATGACAGCTAATGAGGTACAACGTTAACTAACCGTAAAGTGTTACTAAATGCATTGGTGAATCGTGCACACTAATACGACAAGAGGAGTTTATTAACATTAAGTGAATGAGGTCACTTATGATTTAATGTTGTCAGTGAGAAGGATAACAGCTTTACCGTTGGATGATGCTACGGTTTGTGCGCGGGCATGCGGTGGAATGAGAGTGGAATTGAGCTGCGGCTGAATCATCAGCTCTGAAATAAAGAGAAACACACTCTGTTGACAGATCTCCAAGTGGAACAAACAACGGAGCAGAAATATCAAATGCTCAGATTCACACGCTATCCCTGGGCTGGTAAAAAATAAACTAAATGCATTAAATAAAATATGACTGAATATCAGTGAGCAGTAACAAAAAGCTGCCAGCCTCCTCTAAAGCGTGGCTGTAATCTTTCATTTTTTTCCCTAAAGTCCAGTTATGTTAGTCAAGGTTTATTTCATCAAACGTAGTTGTAATTTAGTTGTACATGATCATTCACTGCCCGCTCTCTAACCTGTAGAATTAAAGGAACGGTTCATCCATAAATTAAAACTCAGCCATAATTTACACACGTTCACGTCTTTCTAAATCTGTATTTCTTCACTTCTTATGTGGATCAAAAGAAAGATTTGTACTGGCTCCTCTTGTCCGTGCAATTAAATATCGGGAATTAAGCTTCAAAAAGGACATAAAAGGCCTCATCAAATTATTACAAAGTCGTCCAAATGTCTCTGAACTCATGTAATGTTGTATGAGGAACAGACTAACATAAATTATTTACTAATACATTTCTTCAGCTTCTCCCTTTTGCTATAGACACATAGATGTGCATTGAAAGATGCATAGTAACACGATGGTGCATAAATTACAAAAGAAAACCCAAGCTAGTTTTTATTTAAATAAACCACCAGTGGAAAGTTTGGGATCATTGGGACAGTTATATAGCTTTTGAAAGGAAATAATTATTTAAATGCAAATGCATTAAAACAGTTATACTGAGATAAACATTTCTTACTGTCATCTTGTTTTTCATCAGTGTTTAATAGTGATTCATAACATTTGTTTTGCAAACTATTTTCAGTATTAAATGAGAATCATTTTATATAAAAGCAATTGTTTACAAACAATCCCTCTTTTAAATGTCATCACTGTCACTTTTGATCTTTTTAAAGGTGCTGTGTGTAAGTTTTTGACTCTTCTAAAGCATAAAAATACTATAATACGTTTGCAGATATTTAAGAAACATGCGTGAACATTCTTGTTTATCTGGAAAACTGTGCTAAAGTCATTCTGGTCTAAAATTGTGTTACGTGCTGGAACATGCATCTTTGTTTTGATTCTTTTAACCCGCCCAATGCCAGTTTAGCCCATTATATTTCAGAACCCCGGGTTGCCTTTGTGGATAACAGCGTATTTCATTCATTCCCTCAGAAAGGCTCTTAAAGTCGTAAAATCCATGACCGAAATGTGATTTGCGGAGGACAGAAGCAGATTCCGAAATGAGACCCAGATTCAGAGTTCCACATGAGGTTATTAATTAGCAAATAGTATAAATTTTATGAACGTAATCATTAGGTGAGCAGGTTATATTGTTACTTCATGTCTTAACACACGGTAAGTGCTGAAATTTGCAGAGATGATTTTGCTGTTTGCATCAGACGAAACACAGAAATTTAGATGTAGCCATTCAGAAGCACAGAATAGTGCACTCACTGCACTCAAACAAACGGTAAGGTTTATAATCTAATTCATACATATTAAACCTCTTTATCACTACTAAATGTACATGCTGAATCACTGATATGTGTTGGTTTACACTGAGTCACAGTTCTGAAGTTCAATTTCAAATGCTTTTTTTTCGAGATCTGAGCTGAACTATCTGCTGCTGCTTTCAGTAGTATGGCAATAAATATCATGTAAAATGGCATTAAAAATCACGTCATAAGCATTTAACACTGAATAAGGCACATGAGGTTTACCTGAGGTGATCATTGTCAAAGTTTCCTGTTGTTCAGCTGCAAGAAATAGAAGCTGTTTCTAAAATATAAATTTCAGCTGTTTAAACTTATTATAATAAGGAAAATATTCCTTCTATCACGTGCCATTGCTTTTATTTAGAACACGACTTTAATTAGCCTTAAATCAGCCTTTAGGCTCAATGGTTTGCTCCTGTTGGTCCTCAATCTGGTAACCTGCGCTTGCATGTGGTTTGATGCAGAAATGCAATACCTAGTTCAACCACTGGGTGTCAAACTTACATACTGCACATTTAAGTGCCCTTGCTGAACAAAAGCCTTAATCTATATCAATCTATCTATCTATCTATCTATCTATCTATCTATCTATCTATCTATCTATCTATCTATCTATCTATCTATCTATCTATCTATCTATCTATCTATCTATCTATATATATATATATATATATATATATATATATATATATATATATATATATAAAACATTTAAATAAACATCTTCACTCTCATTTTTTTCACTTTGAAGGTGACCTATTATGCCCCTTTTTACAAGATGCTCAATAAGTCTCTCATGCTCCTAGAGTGCTTATGTGAAGTTTCAGCTCAAAATAAAAAACCCAAATAAAGTTTCATAACTCTTTGAAACTGACCCTTTTAGGCTTTGATCTTAATTGTGCTGTTTTGGGGACTGTCACTTTAAATGAAAAATTATATTGTGCTCTTTTCAAAAAAGGGCGGAGCTACAAATGCCAGTGTGTCAGCATAGTGGCAGATTCAAAAACCAGATGTCCTACGCTTATGAGGGAAAGATCGTCATTAATGTGCAGGGCTTTCCCCCTCTGATGACACGTACAAAAGGAGAATGTCAATCAAAGTATTTCTGTTGACAGTTTTTATTAGAAACTGGTTATTTTCAGCTGTTGCCACGACTGTTTAAACTACCTCTTATAATAGTGATTTTGGCATAATAGGTTCTCTTTAAAGTGTCTTTGCTGAATAAAAAACTTAATTTAAACAAATGAAATAAAATCATTTTAAAAATGTGTTCTCATTTTTATAATTTAGTTTTTTTAATTAAAATAACCTTTTTTTAAAATCATTTAGACCTCAAACTTTGTAAATACCCTCTGTTGTGAATGGCTAACATTTGTAGACGGCGTTGGATATACTATTTTTATTAATCATTCATTCATTCATTCATTCATTCATTTATTCATTTTCCTTTTGCTTTGTCCCTTTTTTATCAGGGGTTGCCACAGCAGAATGAACCGCCAACTTATCCATTATATGTTTTACGCAGCGGATGCCCTTCCAGCTGCAACCCAGTGCTGGGAAACACGCATACACACATTTAAACATACACTACAGCCAATTTAGTTTATTTAATTCAGCTATAGTTCACATTTTTGGACTGTGGGGAAAACCGAGGCACCTGTAGGAAACCCACGCCAACACAGGAAGAACCTGCAAACTCCACACAGAAATGCAAACTGGCCCAGCCGGGGCCATCGTGCCACCCAATATTTTATCAGAGCAAAAAAAATTGTTCGGCAGTAAACAAAAGGCAGTTTAAAGTAAAAACTGTAGGTTAGTTTTAATAAATGAGTCCACTGGGGAGAGATTTCTAAAGTTTCCAAAGATTTCTAAATACAGTGAAAGATCAACTTCTGAGCAAGATTAAGCTAAAACTTTTACGTATCATGTGAAACCCTGTTTTGTTGAGATAGATGATATCTGCATTCAATCAGTGAGATGTTTTTTTTTGAGGATGCGCATGAAGGGAAACTCACCTGTTGTGGTGAAGTTGAAAAGCGGAGGCAGCTCTCGGCCGCTGGGCAAACGGGTGCCAGGTTGGCGCAACTCGTCAAAGAAGGCATGAGCACAAGCCTGAAGCGGAGACAGCCGAGTCACTGGCGTATACTCCAACAGCCGAGAGCACAGCGCGATCGCCTCAGGAGGAGTTCTGGGTTTAAACACCTGCAAGAAAGAGATATGAGAGAAAACAATGAAAGATTAAAAAAAGACTGAATTCTCTGAAAATGAACTCGATTATATATACAGTGGAAATTATAAAGTCAAATTTATTTGCCCTCCTGAGAAATTTTTATTCTTTTGAAAAAATTTCCAAGTAACACTTAACAAATTTCACAGTATTTCCTATTTTATTTCATCTTCTGGAGAAAGTCTGATTTCTTTTGAAGTTTAAATAGAAAAAAATCTGTTTAAAATTTGTTTTAATCAATTTTGAGGTCAATATTATTATTTTTTCAATTGTCTACAGAAAAAAAAACTGTTGTTCAATAACTTACCCAATTATCCAAACTTTCCTAGTTAACATAACTTAATTAAGCCTTTAAATGTCACTTTAAGTTGAATACTAGTATCTTGCAAAATATTATAAACTGTCATTATAGCAAAGACATAAGAAATTAGTTATTACAAGTATTATGTTTAATAATGTGTTGAAGGAAAATCTAAACTGTTTAAACAAAAGTTTTGCAGTATTTGCACATAAAACAAATATTCAATGTGATATCATGGACCCAACACTATTTAACAGGCCAGTTTTTACTCAATCCACTAGTAAGTTTCTTACTATAGGTACTATTTTTTTATCATCAACGTAGCTCAAGTCACATCTGGTCAAAATATTGATGTTTAGAAGAAAAAAAAAAGAAACTACTTAATGTAAAAAGACTTCAATAAATGTAATTTAATAAATAAAATAAAAATAAAAAACTATTTAATAAATGCTCAAATAAATGTAAAAAAATATTGGCTACTGATAGCTCATACAAAATATTCTAAAAACATTTACACTTATAATATAATTTATTAGATATGTTTTATACCAATTTTATAACACTTAATATTAAACACCTTTTTTCTTTCACACAGCAACAAATCCTGTAAAGTTAACCATATTTACAATAGAAAAAAAATATTATTATTAATTAATAAATATAAATAAATTAAATAAATATAGATAAATAAATAATATTAAAATTATAATTAAATATTATTATTAGTATTATTATTACTTAATAAATATAAATTAATTAAATAAATATAAATAAATATCAAAATTATAATTAAATATTATTATTATTATTACTTAATAAATATAAATGAAAACAATAAATAAAAATAAATAAATTATATAAAAATTATAATTAAATGTTATTATTACTAAATAAATAATAATGAACTAAATAAATATAAATAAATAACAATAAAAAGTAATTAAATATTGTTATTAATAAATATAAATAGTAAATAAATATGAATAAATAAATAATAAAAAGAATATCTAAATATTATTATTATTAATTAATTAATATAAATTACATTAAATAAATATAAATAATAATAATAAATATTAATAATTGTTAATATTATTATTATTATTATTAATTATAATAATAAATATAAATTAAATAAACAAATAATAAATAAATAAATTATAATAAAAAATATTAAATATTATTATTATTAATTAATATAAATCAATCAAATAAATATAAATAAATAAAAGTCACTAAATTAAAAATAAAAACAAATGAGCATGCACACATACATACATTTAGCAAACTAAAAATATAGTCTTGTGTACTAAAATGTGAGGCCTAAATAAAATCATTTCAAATGAACCTGAAAAACAGCCCATATTGAAAAATGCTGTAATAAATCTTTGCAGATGTCAGTCAGTCAGATGCTTGTTTCCTGTCAAAGAAGACAGTTCTTGACAAGGACAAACAGTAAACTTGCCAAAAGCTGTCAGAAATGGTTACTTGAGAATATTTATAAGGCAGTTTTGCATCACCGCTAACAGAAACCTCATGGCTTTTTGGCTGCAGATGTGAGTCAGATAGGGGGTGTGAGATTTCACCTTGGTCCATGGATGAGCTTTGATCTGTGGGAATTTGAACTCTGTGTAGTTTGGGTTCATTTCACGGATCTGTTCTCTTGTGGGGGTTCCAAGTACCTGAGCAGAATCACAGAAACAACAGTGAGGAATGCGGAGCTGAAATAATACACTGCTGATCAACACGGTTGTGGTATATATATATATATATATATATATATATATATATATATATATATATATATATATATATATATATATATATATTGCATTTATTTGATTAAAGGCCCCTTTGTACAAGATGTAAAATAAATTACTGATGTCCCAGAAATGTGTATGTGAAGTTTCAGCACAAAATACCCCACAAATTATTTTTAAAACTCTTTGACTCTCAGGTATATATAACATGCCTGTTTACCTTTATGATCTCCACTAGCTGGTCCACACCACTGTCTCCAGGGAAGATGGGCTGTCCCAGCAGCAGTTCGGCCAGCACACATCCAGCTGACCAAATGTCAATGTTGGAGGTGTAGTCCGTGGCACCAAATATAAGCTCAGGGGCGCGATAGTATCGCGAGCAGATATAAGAGACGTTAGGCTCACCCCTCACCAGCTGCTTTGCACTAAGAGACAAAAAAATCAATCGCAAACGTATACAGATTAGCCATGACGGTTTCCACAAAATCAATAATAATCAATTGATGAACTTTAATAATGCAAGATGTATCTGTCACCAGCATGACAGTATGTTAAACTGATGCTCGAAACACAAGCAGTGTGTTTCTCGTGGAAAGCACTGAAATGCTTTGTAAATAGTAAAAAAAAAGGCCTAAAACATATCTGGATGACAGACCTCTTGTGAAAAGGGATCCAGAATAAAGCACAATTCAATACAGATGCTTTGTCTTCCAAACACAGTGATTATTCCAGTCTGATGTGCATCTCCAATCAGCCAAGTAGCAATTTACAAGCCTTTTTTCGGCTGCCAGACTGTCCATTTTTAAGAATACGGAGAGCAGTGCTCATGTTCTTACAAAAGAAACGAAAAAATATAATAACCTAAAGTGCATCAAGTGCCTTAATCACGAAATTAACTCTTGAGATTGCCATAAATTAAACAAATGTGGTCTGAATTACAGTCCTCTTCACATCATACAATGCATCAAGTGGTTCTCATAATTTTTTTTTTAAAAACTCAGAAAAAGGGAGTGTTTATAAATAGGAAAAGAGGCCAGAGTTTGGCCTGGAGGGCAAAGGATCACAGCAGAGACGATCTGACCAGCAGCATGAATATCTGGATGCATATTGTCTTCGTCAATGATCCGTGGAGAACAACAACAACTGTATTTGTGAACAAGTTTAACATCAGAACAGAAAATATACTTTACATAAGGCTTCAGGCAGGCGGTGATAGCGCTCTGAAATTATACATTAAATCTAGACACCGACTAAGGTGTACTCTCAGAATATAATGAGTATTACTGTGCAGCATCCATTAAATCTGAACATTATGTTCACTGGCGGGCAGAAGGACACAATTGAGAACCCATCAAATCTACCTGCTCCCTCTCTCTCTCTCTCACACACACACACACACACACACACACACACACACAAATCACTGACCTGCCAAAGTCACAGAGCTTGAGAACAGCTGTTTCTGGGTCCACCAGAAGGTTCTGTGGTTTGATGTCTCGGTGACATACGCCCTGGGAATGGATGTAGGCCAAACTGCGAAAAAGCTGATACATGTACACCTAAGAGAAAACATAAAGCATGGTTCTTGCTCAGATTCATGTAGGTTATTTGAATTGGTTTTCCAGAAAATATTCATGCTGGATTCCAATATACTTAATGTCCATGTATACCTGCAAATTTACCAGAAACAATTTTTAATTAAATCATTGACAGGCTATGCAATTGACCCTTCACTAAGCCACTCCCAAAAACCGCCACCCACCAATCGTGGCTTGGCAACTGTAGCAACGCACAGCGGCTCTGTCAAGCTTTCGAGCTTTCAAGCTTTCGACCCGGTTTCCTTAAAGTTTGGGCAGGATGGTGGATTTTTTCCCCTTTCAAAACCAACAACCCAAGAGGAGAAATGCCAGCGTGGATCAAGCCGTGTGAGGGGCGCTAAAGGAGCGGAGCTAAGTTGGTTTTGTTTTAATATTCCTGACACATTCAGACATAGACCGACGGCAATAACTCACACAGCTCTTACCCTAAACAGATCTAAACTGTTTCCTACAAAAATACAAAGCAGGTTATGTTCCACAGCTGTCTTTTTCTTTTTTTTTTGCTAGATAATATGAGTAATAGTCCATTTAAACCTTCGCCATAGTAACGTTAGTCATACTACTGTACGTATATGCCAGACACAAAAGCTTGACAGGCGTAGCAACAGTAACTAAGGAGGGCAGGGCTTAGCAAAGGGTCAATTAAATAGAAAATACACCACAGTGTTCACCACGTGTTAACGTTGAACCTTTTTGCATGATCTCACGCAAAGGTATTTTAAGTTAGGATGTTCCTGGCATTACACAAAATTATATATAAAACAAACTCCAACTGTGCCAGAAAACAGCCACAGATCACTTATTAGCCAATATCAGAAAATAACCTACACATTCTTTTATACAGATATCTATGAAAGAAACGTCCATAACCATTCCAAAACATTTTGGTTTTATTTCTTTTCATTTCTCCAGGCCTGACAATTATTCAATTTTAATGATTGTGAGCTCTTAAAATCCTCCAACCTAACATATAACCATTTACACTACCTGTCAAATGCCTTGTCGTCAATCCCAGTTGTAGGAGCAACAAATAATAACTTGACTTTTAAGTATTCATTCGATGGCAAAAGGTAGATTGTTCTAATTAATCATCTGTAAACTGCATCTCAATCATCACAAATACTGCAGAAGACCTACTGGAACCCACATGGACCCAAGATTCTCACAGTTATCAGTCGAGTTTAATAAAGGAAAAATCATGGTTTGGGGTAACATTTAGTATGGGGGTGTGCGAGAGATCTGCAGAGTGGATGACAACATCAACAGCCTGAGGTATCAAGACATTTGTGCTGCCCATTACATTACAAACCACAGGAGAGGGTGAATTCTCCAGCAGGATAGCGCTCCTTCTCATACTTCAGCCTCCACATCAAAGTTCCTGAAAGCAAAGAAGGTCAAGGTGCTCCAGGATTGGCCAGCCCAGTCACCAGACATGAACATTATTGAGCATGTCTGCGGTAAGATGAAGGAGGAGGCATTGAAGATGAAGCCAAAGAATCTTGATGGACTCTGGGAGTCCTGCAAGAACACTTTCTTTGCCATTCCAGATGACTTTATTAATAAGTTATTTGAGTCATTGCAGAGATGTATGGATGCAGTCCTCTAAGCTCATGGGAGTTATACGTAATATTAACTCTTTTTTCACTGCAGCATGACTTTATATTCTATACTGTACATCATTTCTGTTAAGTGACAAGACTTTTGTCTAAGCAAAGTCAGACCTTCCTGTCCTAATGAAATAGTTAAAAATCAAGGCATGATCATATTTTGTTTTGGTAAAATAAGTGTAATCTAGTTGCCTTTACATTTTATATAGGCCACTTCTGATACTAAATGATCAACTAGAAGTCAACCTATTATTTGTTGTTCCTAAAACTTGGATAAGCGACAAGACTTTTGTTAGGTAGTGCTTGATTTCAGTCTAAATGAAAGCTGCCTGTGATTGCTAAACATGGTAACTCACATGTTTAGATCCGCATATCCAACAACTTGAATAAAGTTTAACATCTACATAAACTGATAATTTGGGCACATTAAATGTATAATTCCTCCAAAAATCAAAATGAAAAACTCAAGTGGTTCTTTATTCTGAAGATATTTTGAAGAAAACAGGAAACCGGTAACCATTGACTTCCATAGTAGGAAAAACAAATACCATTGAAAGTCAATGGTCATACAGACAGAATCTGCTGACATATCTTGCTATTTCTGAGCAGAATTTTGTTAAAAATTTAGGGATTTATGCAGAATGATTTTTGAGAGTATCGTTACTAAAAACTTAATATATGAAATAAAAAAATGATACCTTTTTACCTTTTATTTAATGGTTACAATGCAAATCCAATTAGATCGACTTTATTTGGCAAACAAAGCAAGTCTCTCTTATAATATGTGGAAATATAAAATTCTATCATCTAATTCCAAATGAACAATAATCTATGTATAACTGAAAAGTTATATTCTTTGGTTTTTAATTATATCATTTCATTGACATGCCAGCTAGGAGGGACATTTAACCTTTGCCTTGCTGACTACAGGCTAAGCCAAAGTGATGCAATTATCGGTTTCACAGCATGGCTGTATCTATTGTCTTCTCTGTCTCCAGAACATCATTTGCACATTGTTGTAATGATGTACTTATATACTGATGAGATCAGACCTGGAGAAGGCATGGCACCCTGCAGACAACCAGACTTCATTTGGATGCTTTGTTTGACTGTCCCCACCATGACTGACCCCACCTACATGCTGTAAAATGTATAATGTTTGCTTTGGAGTTTAGAGTTTGCTTTCGATGACGCCACAGCCACGCAGAGTTCTTCTTATTAAAAAGGATTCTGCTTTGAAGACAACCGAAAGATTCTCCCTGGTTTTTTGGGCTCTTAGAAGTTTACAACAAATATCTCTACTAAAAGACAGAAAATGTTACTTTTACAAACTGTATTGTAAATAGATCTTATGAATATTTTCATATTATTCAAGAATATTATTGAAATTAATTTAAAAACTGAATAAATAAAAATTTGCACACATTTACACAAGTAAATAAACAGAATCCATAATGTGCTAAAAATCTGCGGAAATCTAGGCATAGGTTTCCAGCATTCCTCAATATATGAACAGAATAAAGTAAATAAACAGGTTTATAACAAGCAAATAGTGAATAAATGATGACAGAATTTTTATTTTTAGGTGAACTATCTCCTTAAGATGAAAGAAATTTTGTGTTGTTGTTGTTGTAAGATGTTGAGATCATTTGTTTGGTCAACTTTACCTTCACATAAAAGATGGGAATAATGGTTTTAGCCTTGCTAAAGTGTCGAGCCACCCTGTAGACAGTCTCAGGCACGTAGTCCAGCACTAGATTGAGGTAAACCTCATCCTTCTGTGGAATACAAACAGACCAAAACAAAATGTGTGGTTGTGTAATGTACATGCTCATATCATTTTAATTAGAATTATGCAACAACTATCATAGGTGTTTACCTTCTCTCCGCTGCAATAGAAGAAATAGCGCAGCCTCACTATATTGCAGTGGTCCAGTTTTCTCATGATCTGAAGTTCTCGGTTCTTGAGAAGCATGGAGGAAAACACTGTCAGCGTCTCTCAGGGATAAAACACGTCACCATATTTACAAGCAAACAGTCATGACAGTTCCATCCCTCTCAGCCTGGGTTTAAGTGCCTCGTTCAAGGGCACAGTGTTTACTTTAGTAGTGGTGGACAGCAAAAGTGGGTCATGTAAACGGTTAGCTGCGGAGTCATCTAATGGAAACAAACTGCTGATATATTCAAACCAGAACATTACTTTACAACTGAGAAGGTTTTTTACTCAAGACGCCCTATAAACATCAGTGTCGTCCCAGTAAGTCTGAACGAACTGCTTCTGTTGATTCATTTTCAGGAATCATTCATATAAACAGAAATTGGGCACAGTTATATAAAAGTAATTTGCAAATAATGAGTTTTAGGGTTGTAGTATTTATTTGTATTTTAAATAAGCTTTTTTTTTTATATAATTTAATTTTCCTCTCAGTATTAGACTTATATCAGTACTTTTTTACCTTATTGTTAAGATTTTTTTATATTTTAGTTTTTAATTTATTTGTATTTTCTTCAATATTACTTCATCTTCATTTCATTTCAATTACCAAAAGGAAGCCTTTATATATAATGCATTACAAAACTATTAATAAATCCCTTTAATTAAGGGCGAGTGTTGAAGTTGAGCATAAAATGCATGCTGTCTATGTTTTAAAAACACTGCGCTTCCACTGGCAACTGAAAATGAAAATGGACAAGCACCCTAAGCCTTTTAACGTGATGTTTATTGAATTTTTTGGACTCCAAGATAACTGTACTTTGGACAATAGACAATTTGTGATGAACATGTCTTATCAAAAAGGCTTAAAGCCAAAAGCCTAAGGGTTAAGTGCGGCAACATACAGCACCATGGTGCTCACGAAGACCCAAGTTCAATTCCTGCTGATCCTTCCCCTCTCTCTGCTCCGAATGCTTTCCTGTCTGTCCTCCACTATCCTATCATAATAAATGGTGAAAAAAACTAAATTATTATAATATAATTATAATAAATAAATAAATAAAGACTCAATGTTTAAAAATCGTTCTACTGCATAAAATTAGTCAAAACCAGGGCCAGATAGCTATTCTGTGGAATCGTGCGGAATGATTATGAGAGTATAGTAAATAAAACACAAAAAATGAAATACAAAATAACTTTCTAACTTCTATTTAAATTTTACAAAGAAAATCCAATTAGATCCACTTGTTTGTAAACAAAGCAAGTTTCACATAAAATATATGTAGTAAATGACAGAGAATATGACTTTACAAACTGTATTGTAAATATATCATAAAAACATTTGCACATTATTCAATAATATCACTGAAATCAACATAAATACTGAATAATTAAGTTTAACACATTTACATATGTAAATAAAAAGACTCAATGAAGGCCTAAAAATTCTGCGAATTTTGCAGATTCTACGTTCTAGTCATCATAACCCATACATGATTCAAAGATCTGTTCTGATTACATCTACAGACAGTAGGGAAAACTATTTTTAATGTGCAAAGTATTATTTGCATTAAAAAAAAAGAGGAAAAAATGATTCCTGTATCTTTTGTTGTTGGTTTCTTGGAGTCGAGCTCTACTCGTTTGCATCAAAATCTGCTATAATTCAGTACCAAGTGACCAAATTAGGCAGCTGAAAATGATTAAGGGTGCTTTCACACCTGTGAATTGATTCAGTTGTTCCGAAACAGGGATTAAAATTGTTACATTGTTGCTCTTTGTTCTTGGTGCGGTTCGCTTTCACACTGTAAAGTTTCTAAACGGACCAAAATAGCTAAAACATGTCACGTGCGAGTAAACTCTCCTCACTTTGGTCAGAGTTTCAGGGTTTATTTTGCAGAGTCCCGCTCAGCTGTCATGCATCCTTATTTTAATTTATGACGATGAGCAATAAGACAATATAAGCGAAAAGCTGAAGTTTAATTTTTAATGGTGACACCCATAGACGTAGTCACTATAGATCAAATGTAAGAGTATACATAGCAGATGGATTATGCATTATAGGCTTTACATTATAGAGAGAAAAAACAGATAAACTACTGCGGTTCGGTCAATTTTCGGATGAACAGCTTTCGTTAATAGTGCATGCCTTCACTTTCATATTTTACACGAAACGCACATTAATCGGTAGGAATGACATCCCGCCCTACTCATCATTCTCTCTTCATATAGCCATATATATGCCTATTACATATCCATAATACACTGTAATATAGCCGGGCTCGAATCATAATGCTTTTTCATGACAATCGAACTGTTCCAGAGTTTGTTTTAATCGAGCCGAGACCACCTTATTCAGCACGATTGCTGGATTCACATATGCCAAATGGCGCTAACTGGGCAAACGAGACAGGTTTCTCGGTTTAGGTGTGAAAGCACCCTAAAAGCCCAGTGATTAAAAGTGCTTTGAAATGTGATTTTTTTTTATTTTATTTAATGTTTGACAAAATCACAATTGAAAAATGCAAAGAGGGTGAGGCGTAGTGCAGCTCCTCCCTTTTTAAAAAACAGCCAATAGCATTTTGTTTTATAACAGCTCTGCTAGTGAGAGCATCAAATGTGAAGCATCTTAAAGGGGGCGGGGCATGCCAGATATTAGAGAGCAGTTGATGAGAAACTGAAGTATAAGGTGACGTCAAAAACATTGTTGATCGATTTAGGAAACTTTGTATATTTATATCAGGTTGAAATCTTCTAAACTACAATTTTATCACAGTTTTGGTGCACAAAACTAACAGTACTGATACTAACTTACTTTATTAGATTACTAACTTACTAAAAATACTTTATTTTAATTTAATGGGACCTTTAAAAAGGAATTACACTTTAAAGACATTTCTCTACTGAACGGGTCAACAAGTACTCATAGCCACATATGTATGGAAGTGTCGTACCTTAAATCGCTTGTCCTGAAGAACCTTCTTGATGGCCACCCACTCATGAGTGTCAATGAGACGTGCCTGATAAACCACGCCAAAGGAGCCATTACCGATCACCTTGATATCAGTGTAGGACACTTCCTGCGGGCGATCCGGGCCCTGGCCTGGGGTGGCAACCACTGTGGTCACCTTCCCACTGTCTCCTGAAACACATTCCAGACAGCAGATCTGATTAAACAAAGTTGAGGAGCTTCCTGGGTGTAAATGAAGCAACAATATTTTCGGTCATGAACTTGAATCAACTCAGAACGTGATGCTAGTTCGAGCGTTTCAAATCTATAAATAAAAAGTGTGGAAATCATGTGGCTTTATAATGTATAGTTTTGAATAAAATGTTACAATTGGTTTTATTTTCTAAAGGTCTGACTAATTTTCTAAATTTCAAATAAATAAAAAAAATGCTATTTACAATTTTTTTTTAAATGTAAGAAAGTGACAGCTGGTTGGGAATAAGAAATGTTTTCATTTCTTGTGATTGAAAATTTGGGTTTTTCCTGATTTAAAAGGTTAAAACATTTGTTTTGTGTGATCCAGTAATGAATATGAACATCTGAAAATGTGGCAACTTTCTATTTTATACGAATCAATTGCGCTAAATCATTTCATTTTCAATTTAAAAGACTTGTCATCAGAGGTTTATAGAAAAAAAGCACAAAAATGTAACTCTACTTACTCACAGGCCACTTTATTAGGTACACCTGTCTTATCACTCAGCTCTTCCTGTGATTTCCCTGAGATAAAGGTATTTTATTATACCTGTTTTATGAACAGCTCTCGCTAATAGTGTATGCCTTCACTTTCATATTTTACACGAAACGCACATTAATCGGTAGGAATGACATCCCGCCCTATTCATCATTCTCTCTTCATATATGCCTATTACATTTCCATAATACACTGTGATATAGCCGGGCTCGGATCATATTGCTCGGATCACTTTGTTTACTGTCTCATTACTGTTTATGCAAAGATTGATAATAACTCTTGGCTGTATTTTCATTTACATTATAGTTTACAAATTCCACCACAATACATCTCTGTTAGTCTCTGAAATTAAAAGTTGCTGTTTTCTAGGCTGATATGGCTAGAAACTATGCTCTGATCTTGCCATAATAATAATAATCAAGAAACTTTCCTGCAGTTGGTGCAATAGCCTAGTGGTTAGCGCTGACATATAGTGTAGTAGCACATCAGGGCGTCCTGAGTTCGAATCCAGGCTCAAGGACATTTCCCCACCCTACCCACCTCTCTCTCTCGCACTTTGTTTACTGTCTCATTACTGTCCAATCTAAAAAAGGCAAAAAGGCCAAAATAAATCTAAAAAAAAAGAAACTTTGCTGTGGTACCATGACTGCAGCACTGTGCTGGTATTACACAGAACTTTAAAAAAAGTTTCCACAAGTGCACACATTTCTAATCAGCCAATCACATGGCAGTAACTCAATATATTTAGGCATGTAGACATGGTCAAGACGATCTGCTGCAGTTCAAACTGAGCATCAGAATGGGGAAGAAAGGTGATTTAAGGGACTTTGAATGTGGTTGTTGGTGCCAGACGGGCTGGTCTGAGTATTTCAGGAACTGATGATCTACTGGGATTTTCACACACAACCATCACTAGGCTTTAGAGAGAATGGTGTGAAAAAGAGAAAATATCCAGTGAGCTTCAGTTCTGTGGGCGCAAATGTTTTGTTGATACCAGAGGAGAATGGCCAGACTAGTTGGAGCTGATAGAAAGGCAACAGTAATTCAAAATAAACACTCGTTACAACTGAGGTATGCAGAAGAGCATCTCTAAATGCACAACACCTCCAACCTTGAGACAGATGGGCTACAGCAGCAGAAGACCACACCAGGTGCCACTCCTGTCAGCTAAGAACAGGAAAATGAGGCTACAATTCGCACAGGCTCACAAAAATTGGACAATAGAAGATTGGAAAACAATCTTATGAGTCTTGATTTTTGCTGTGACATTTGGATGGTAGGGTCAGAATTTCGTGTCAACAACATGAAAGCATGAATCCATCCAGCCTTGTATCAATGGTTTAGGCTGGTGGTGGTGTGATGGTCTGGGGGATATTTTCTGCGCACTTTGGATCTATTAGTACCAATTGAGCATTGTGTCAACGCCACAGCCTACCTGAGTATTGTTGCTGACCATGTCCATCGCTTTATGAACACAGTGTACTCATCTTCTTAAGGCTACTTCCAGCAGAATAACTCACCATGTCAAAGTGTAAATCATCTCAGACTGGTTTCTTGAACATGACAATGAATTCAATGTACTTAAATGGCCTCCACAGTCACCAGAACTCAATCCAATAGAGCACCTTTGAGATGTGATGGAACGGGAGATTCGCATCATGGATGTACAGCCGACAAATCTGCAGCAACTGCATGATGCGAGCATGTAAACATGGATCAAAACTTCTGAGGAATTACCTTGTTGAATCTAAGCCACAAAGGATATAGGCAGTTCTGAAGGCAGGGGGTTGGGGGGTCCCAACCCGGTACTAGTAAGGTTTACCAAACAAAATGACTGGTGAGTGTATATGCATAACTCTAAATTCTACATACACCCAAATAAACCAAGACTTTTAAGTGGTCTCATATTATTAGTTTTCCATTTATGTTGATTCATGCCTAATTATTATGGTATTTTGGCTCATACAGAATGTAAAATAAACTACTTTTTGAATGTGGAGCATTATTTTATAATTTTTTTTATAAAATTTAAATAAACATTTACAGTAAGCATCAGCTACTGCAAAGTTATCCGATGATATATAGCTGTAACATATAATGTAAAATAAAGCCCTGAGCAGTCCCACACATCAGACATTATGACAACAGGAGACTCAGGACAGGTAATTACTACCCATTTAAAACCTAGTTGCTTATCTTTTAAATCATTTTAACAATTCAATAAAAAAGCCTTAAGAAATTATTCTCAAATTAATGGTAATATCTCAAATCCTAAACCTCATAATTCATGTTAAAACGCAAACTGTGTTTTTAAACATTCTTACAATGCTAAATCATGTTATATTTTTGGCCATGATACCTTGAAGCACGTTTTATATGATAACATCAATGAACATTGCATATAAAAATCATGTTATATAAATTTACCATATTAGCATCACTGTACCATGGTAAAACCAGACGACTTTTTTTCTGTAATGCCCGAAAGGGTGCTTAAGTTACGCAGCTTAGGTTTTAGGGTAACGTTACATTAAATATATGTAACTTAATAATAATAATTTAACCAAAAAACAAGACAATTTTCATCGGTTAGCCTGTGCTAATTTCGTAAATATGTCATAGCTGTCAGTATCACGAACGCATGGGTGTGTTGTTTAAGTATATGAACGACAAATCGAGTAAAAATTCACAACTGACAGAACTTCGTTTATATACTCACTAGCTAGTTTTAAATTCGCGCAGGCAGATGAACTGTCCGCCGAGGCCTGCGAGACCCCGGGCTTTCCTGCGTTGCTCCCCACGACAGCGGCGGTTCCGGCGGATGCAGCAGCGGTTCCGGACGCCCCCTGAGGCTCAGCGAACGAGCTTGTCCTGGGCCGCCCGCTGCCGCTCATATCTGACTGAAAGTTTACCGAGGCGGTGGGTCGACGATCAGCGCTTCCCTCGTCTACTTGGCCTGGTGCTGGGTGAAACATTGGGTTAAAAACGAAAAAAGATGATAAGCGGTTCTCCGCGACCCTCAGCGATCACCCACTCCCTCACGCGCCGAGAATCCGCGCAGCCTCATGGGGAATGAAGTTCCAGAGCGCTGGAGGCGAAATATATTGATCAAAACCACAACCACGGGTCAGGAGCAGGTGTCATTTACCTCACCTGAGGAATCAGTACATCTGTCTGTAACTTTACCGTCATTGTATATGTTATACTGCACAACAATAATGATAAATATAAGCCCACAGTAACGTTAGTGATAAAAAGTCTTAAAGCTTAATTATTATGGCGATTTTCCTGGCAAGGACAGAAAATATTATTTATAGCTCTTTAATTAAACTCAAGACCTACAAAGGACAAAATATAAATAGCTAATAAGAATAATTTAATGATTAATTAAACAACTACAGGTCAGGAGCAGGTGTCATTTACCTCACCAGAGGGATCAGTATCTGTAACTTTACCTTAGATTAAAACAATAATGATAAATTACAATGATAAACTCATACACAAATACACTTCATTGAACAGGTACACAATAGACATCACCTATATTCTATAGTTATATGTTTATAACTAACTGTTAAATTCTATTATATACTGTTTAATTAAAGTTATTAGTAACACATAAAGTTATAAGTTATAACCATAACTTTTCTGATTTGTATTGTAATGCAATAGCCTAATGTGAACCTTTTTTAAAGCTGCTTTAAAACAATACATATTGTGTTAAATGCTATACTAATAAACTTTAATCGAATTGAATAAATATAAGCCTACAATATTCATAAGTCAAAAAGCTTAAATATTATGATTTTCCTGAATTTCCTAAACTCAAGACCTGTTGAATTACAAAAAAAAAATAATAATAATAATAGCTAATAATTATATTTAATTAGTTATAAGAATAAGACTAAACTCACCCGCCACTTTATTGGTACCTTAGTAGTACCGGGTTGGACCCCCTTTTGCGAATTATAGCCTCAGTTTCCTGTTCTTAGCTGACAGGAGTGGCACCCAGTGTGGTCTTCTGCTGTTGTAGCCCATCTGCCTCAAGGTTTGAAGTGCTGTGTATTCAGAGATGCTCTTCTGCACACCTCGGTTGTAACGGGTGGTTATTTGAGCCACTGTTTCCTTTCAACAAGGCATTCTTCCTAAAGATGGTTGTGTGTGAAAATCCCAGTAGATCAGCAGTTTCTGAAATACTCAGACCAGACCATTAGTCACCAACAACCATGCCACATTCAAAGCCACTTAAATCACCTTAAATCTCCATTCTGATGCTCGGTTTCAGCTGCAGATCGTCTTGACCATGTCTACATACCTACAGACTTCAATCAGTTTGGGGCTAAAAATGAATTTATAATAAAAATAGTAATAAATCGAAATTATATTGACTTTTTTAAAAGTCAGTCAGATACAGAAAACATTACAGAAAGATCTGTTTCAAAATTATGAGTCTGAATTAAACCATAATAATATTCAATACCATAATAATAAAGAATGAACAAAAAAATATATTAATATAAAAAATGTGGAGGTGTCACAGTGGCAGAGCACGATCGCCTCATAGCAAGAAGTTCACAGGTTTGAGCCCCAGCTGGGTCAGTTGGTATTTCTTTGTGGAGTTTGCATGTTCTTCCCATGTTGGACTGGGTTTCCTCCTGATGCCCCCACGGTCCAAAGACAGCTGGAAGGGCATCCGCTGTGTAAAGTTGGTGGTTCATTCTGCTGTGGCGACCCCAGATTAATAAAGGCACTAAGCCAAAAATGAATGAATGAATTAAAATTGTGAATAAATATACTTAAATGAAACAAATTAATAACGTCTAATGAAAGATGTACAAAACTAAATAGAACTAATTTTAATAAAACATATAAATCCTAACATTTGAGGGCTAATCGAGGTAATAAATAGATGTTAAAACATTTTTATTTGATTTATTTAATGATATTGAAAAAAAATAACAATGATAATATTTTAATCTAAATGTATTTTAATGTCATTTTTAATATAAAAAAAAAATAACGTATGATAATAAATCATACATCCCAAAAACACCACACGAAAGCCGGGCGTTGTATTAGGTCTTTAATTTTTTCAATAATCTCTTGTTTAGAAATATTGCACATGGTCAACATGCCTGTTGATGAGTTTACACTCACCTTTCTCATTCTAAAACTCCTTCTCCAAAGTAAAGACAGTTTATTGGATACACAATCATAAGGTGTACACGCATACATGTGCAGGTATGTGTGTGTGTGTGTGTGTGCAAGCTTTCATCTGAGGAAGGGAAAGAAAGCCCAGGTAAATTAAGTTCAGAATTGAATGGTTACATATGCTGATATCTCCTCTGGCACGTCAGTAGCCACCAGTTCTCAGGCATATGCTAACAGTCCTTAGATGTGGTGCCAATGCCTTTTTTTGGAGGGGAAGGGGATTTAGGATATGAATAGCATTTGCTTGGGAGTAAGTCAGATTTGTCAAGGTGCATGTAATGTATAAGCATGTACGCTCGCACACACACAGACATCTGTATATCATGAACATATAGAAATATATAGGTATATTTATACATTTATATTGTCACACATTCAAGTGAAGACTGAGTAGCATTTTATACTCATCACTCCTTCTCTTTCAGCAAAACCAGACGCAAGAAAGTGCTAAGTTACTTTTTTTTTGTCATTTTTTTTTCTTCTTCGGATTTTAGTTTGTTCAGTTTGGATTTCTCTCTCGATACTTGCTTCTGATTTTTTCCCCTCTCACGCTCTTTTCAATATATAGATCATTTTATTACAGCTTGTACAGTGAAAATCTATGGCACTAACAGGTCACTCGTCTACTTCAAGAGAAAAATAATCCCACCCACGTCCTATTGCACCAATGAAAGAAGAGGCAGAGTAAGAAAGAGGAGATCCTGAGAAATGCCGCCCCAGCGCTGGTCTCGGGTCAGCTTTCCCTTGAGTAATCCTAAATCGACTACAAAGCTTATTCTGACTCCAGACCAGCGCTTAAAGTGGCGCTTTCCATCAACACTTCAGTTAAAAGTCTTAAAGAGAAAACAAAAGCTTTCCTTTCGGGATCCGGAAAGGGAGAATCAAACGTAATGGAACAAAGTCGTTGGTTAGTTTTTAAATATCTAAAAACAAATACTTTCCTGATTTAAATCATGGTCTAAGACCATATATTGTGCAAACACCTGATTGAAATATAAAAAAAGAACGAAAGAAAGGAGGGAAAGAACACAGAGAGAGCCTCGTGCCCATCCTCGGCCCCCCTCCCCTGCCATCACGCTTATATTTTTATATATATTTATATATATATATATATATATATACAGTGTACGGGGAAAAGCCTACGTCAGCGGCCAGAGAAGAGGAGCTTCAGCTAAGAGGCTAAAACACAGTCTTTTTTCTTGTTTTTCCACGTATTCGCTCCGACACTTAGCTAGCTGGATTAGTCCATGCTGAAAGTATTACTAGAGTAAGAAGAAGAGGCGCAAGCTAATACAAATAAAAAAAGAGATATCAGTCAGTTCCACCGTTACGACACAACAACAAAACGACAAAGCATAACTACACGTTGATTCAAAGAGGGGTAGTGTCTCTATTCGTCTCCTTTTGAATGATTCTTCCGAGGTTAGGACAATGTTTTCCTCTCTGCTTTGAGTGTGCTGTGTTGTTGTTGTTATGTGATTGTGGCGGTCGCCGTAGCCTCTGTTTTCTGCTCCGCTGGTCTACGTGATTTTTGAGTTTGTTGCTTCTGGGAGAAAAATAAAAAAGCTGTTGTGGATTTACAGCCCGTGCTGAAGAACAGTAACAGCCGATGCATGTACCCCGACTTGGGGGGTGTAACATTTGCACGAAGACCCTTCTCCGCCCTGGCTATTGCTTTCCTCGGTCTCTACAAATGAAAGTGCAAGCGCATTTGTCCCCCACCCCCAACCCCATCCCTGTTTTGGATTGAAAGTTACCGGTACCTCAAACAGTCTAATTTCTCTTTTAAAACATTCAGTCCGTTCGATAAAAATCTGTGCTAGCCCCGTGCGGGGCTTTACTGAGCATGTGCAGACAGGCTGGTTTGGTGCTGCCTGTGGTGCAGCATTGAAGGGCTCTAAAATTCGGACAGAAAGTGAAGCCACGCCCTAGCGCAGAGCTGGACCAATGACTGGCTAAAACGAGTGGCGTATGCAAATGAGAGCGACCCCCATGCCCCCTATGTAATAGTTCCTTGTGCGAGAGTAAAAGTGATATTGTTATGTAATTGCATAACGTGTGTGTGTGAACATGTACGTGTGTGTCTGTGTGTGTAACAACAGAACATCAGCAAAGTGAACGCAATGGCAACGAAATCAGCTCAATTAGAAATGAAGCAAAATCCACGTTAAGTGCTGTAACGTCAGTGGAAATGGTTTTTACACATTTCTATAATCCATCCCTACATTCATCTTCCATTCTTCTCTTTCGTTCTTCATCTGGACTCCTGCGGGTCGCCCGTGTCTTTCTTTGGCTCCTCCCTGCCTCTTTCGTCTGGCTCAGAATTCTCCCTGGACGCCTGATTGGATGGTCCGGGTGCAGAGGTGGAGTCTGAGCCTCCGCCGGCCACGCCTCCTGTGATTTCAGTACTGCCGGCGGTCTGCATGATCTTCTGCCTCACTTCACGGATCTTCAGCTGCAGGCAAACCTTGCTGGGAAATGTGTCCGAGTAGCGAGCTTGGAAGGCAGCGGTGGCTTGCGCTGTAACAGAAAAAAAAGGCCTCGTTTATGTACGCCATTGTTAAAAATCACACATAGATGACAATTAATACACATGTGAACCGGGGCTATTGGTTTAGACTTCCAGAGGTGGTTGACTGGTCCAGAATGCATTTGATTGGATTGCTTTTCAAAACCATAGTTGTTATCCAAATGTACATTTGGTTGCCTTTGAGAGAAAATCTGCATCTTCTTCTTTACTAGTGTTGTCACGATACTGGAATTCGGTAAAAGTCGATACTGAAATTATAAAACTGCCCATTTCCCGCTAACATTTGAGTGCTGTTGAGCACATTCTTAAACAGCGCTTTTTAAACAGCATTTTAAAGCAGCGAATCATCAGCGGATCACTTCTATGTCAGCTTATAGACAAACTAACTTATCGACATGACTTTGAAACACTCCAATGCCCCTGTGTCTGTGGTTACACTCAGTAAACAGAGGTGAGTTCGGTGAACTGATGACCTTCACAGCAGGCACGTGCACACATAGGGCTCAACCTGTGCAGTGCACATGCCCTTTTTAGTCTTGGATGGAAAGTGCCCTTCCAAAATGATCAAAAGTGCCCCCGCGACGAGGCACACCCTCGGTCCCGCCCTTCATTAGGCGCGCGACAACACCGCTCTTGAGTACACACACGCGCGCGCGCGCGCGCGCGCAACAACAACAACAACAACAACAACCCCCCCCCCGCTCTTCAAAAAAAAAAAAGTATCCTGCACATGCCCTTTGGACGGTCTCTGCACGGGTCTGCTTCACAGCCAATCACATTCTTTTCTGTTGAGCACATGAACGCAATGGCAAATTAGTGCCGTTTAACAGCCCGTTTCCAATGAGTGGTACGATACAGTTTGGTGCGCTTTTATGGCTGTTTCCACTGTCAAAAGGTACCTAAAAGCGAATCGTACCGCACCACTTTTTGGGTACCCTTTCGGAAGGATACCTAGCACGACAAAAGGGTACCAAAAGACAGAGCTAGACGGGCAGCTGAATGCTATTGGTTTACAGAGATACGTCACTCGTACAACAAGCCAGGAGAATGAAAACAAAGGAAGCGCTATTTTTAAATACACTGCAGAGACATTACACCATAATAATATATACATATAACAACAAGCCATGGTCGACCCGAGCGCAAACGTCTAAAGTGCGAGCAGTTTCGCTTTTTTGCTTGCGCGAGCCATGCGTCTATATTTAAATTAATGAACTTCTTGAGCTAATAATAATAACAACGTTAACGTGCGCATGATTGAAGTGCTTCTGACATTCTTTCAGAAACGGACAAACGCAAGAGTGATGCGCAAAAAAACAAAGGAGAAGCCTAAAAAAACAAAGGAGCAAATGATTTTCAACCTAAAACATGAACAAACTGCCATGTTTAACTATCATCATCACCTTTTAGACTATTATGAACTTGGAATGACGGAACAGAGGTCACAAGTGCTGGTGATGATTAAAGATACAGATGATTCGTTAATGTGAGCTATATGTTGCATGTTGTTTTTGAACCCAAATAAGGACTAAATGTATGCTGTGAGTAGTTTTTATTTATTTTAAATAATCACAGATGTTACAGTAGGCTATTTCATTTTATAGTATTGATCTGCAGTTATAATACATTTTGTTCAAAGTAAGGTTAGTGATGAACATTTATACGCAAGTATTTATGTGTATAAAGCATCTGTTTTTTGACTGACGTTGACTGAAACTTTGTCGTACACCACGCCCACTATTGGTACCCTTTTAGCAGTGGAAATGCCAGCCTGATAAAGGTGACCTGTACCGTACTGTGCCACTCAGTGGAAACGGGCTATAAGAATGCCGCTCAAATGTTAGCAGGAAATGGACGTTTTGAAAATTTCAATATCGATTGGCATTGAATTCCAGTATCAGTACAACACTATTCTATACTGGAAGAGGAGTATCTTGATTTTACCTGAGGGGAAGAAGCCGTGCTCCTGGAAGAGCTGCATGACGAGAGCACGCCGCTGATCCAGCATCCGACGCAGAGAGGACGGCGGCACGCGATCCAGCTCTTCTAAAATATGCTCGGTCTCTCCAACTGATGAACACAGAAGACCCAAATGCATTTATGTTCATGTATGGGTTAATAAAGTTGCGTTCATATAAAAATGAACCTACCAGTTCTATCGAAGGTGAAGATGTCCCCTTCGCACTTGGCAGCACTCTTGGGTGTGTTGGGCTCGGAGCTGCAGCTTGACAGACGACGACTCTTCCTTCTCGGTGAAGTGGGGTCATCGGTGGAGTCTAGATCTGCAGGATGGAGAAAAAAAAAAAGATGATATTTAGTGTTGGGAAAAGATTAATCGTGGTTAATCGCAACCAAAATAAATTATAAATGTGTGTGATATACAGTTATATATAATATAAGTCACAATTATGTGCCCTGCTATTATTTTTTTTCTTTTTTAAAGAGCTATAATTATGGGTTTTCATGGTTGAAATTACTGGAGTTTTCCTGGGATAAATAACAAAACGGGAGGGTGACGGGTCTGAAATACGGGAAACTCCCAGGTAAAACAAGAGAGAAAAAAAAAAAAGAGTGTTGGCGGGTAGGCTCACACATACACTCTGCACTCTGACTATTTCAATACTGTTGATAAGCCGTGGTGGGCATTTCACTCTGTTTCACGCTGAACGCAGTTGACCAATCACAACAGACTGTTATCAGTCCAATCGCCGCAAATTAGCATCGGGCTATGGAGGGGTTTAGGAACAAAAGAAACGCTGAACAAATTATATGGGAGTCACTGGGATAATTAGGTAAGAATAAATGCATATTTTAAGACAATGCCTGTTGTTGGAGACCTCCAAAACCAAAATATGACCCTTTTCAATGTATAAGAGGGGCTCTTAAAGTTTGTCCCAAAGACAATTACAAGAGCGAGAAATTTTTTACAGTATTTCCAAAAATATTTTTTCTTCTGGAGAAAGTTTAATTTGTTTTATTTTGGCTAGAATAAAAGCAGTTTTTATTTTTTAAATAAAAAACATTTTAAGGTCAATATTATAAGCCTCCTAAAGCAATATTTGTTTTTAGATTGCCTACAGAACAAACCATCATTATCCTTACTTATTATAACTTGCCTATTTAACTTAGTTGAACCTTTAAATTGCAATTTAAACTGAATACTTGTGTCTTGATTGCAAATAATAACACATTTTATTTACAAAATAGTGCTTTTCTCTAACCTAAAGCTCCACAACAAACTATAAAAATACAACAATTAAAATAAAAAGTACAATATGTGAAACAATAAAAAAACATCGAAATGAATCAAATTAAAATCCTAATTGCCAGAATAATAGTGGTAAGGAATTTTAAAGTGATGCATTTTCTTTAAAGTACTTTGAACATTCAACAGAAGTGCACTCTATAACCTCTGAGTAAAATAAGAGAAGACTCCTTGTCCCATAGATTTAAATTTTGAATGGGGATGATGATGAAGGGGAAACAAAATCACAAACATAAGGAGGAGCCAAATCATGCACAGCTGAATGAAAGGGGAGATCAAAAGCACATGAAAAAGAAAACGTGAGGCAGAGAGGAAACTAGAAGACAGATTTACTGAATAAGGGCAGCTTAGAGGACACCCTGAAAGCATCAATGGGGAGTTTAAAGTTCTGCGGGTCTTTCTATTGATTAGCGAACATAGATGTTGTAACTAGTTTCCACTATGAAAAAATAAATAAATCTGCCAATATCAGCTCAAATTAAGACAGTGGCTGTTTCTCAATATGCGTTCTTCAGCGGTCTTGTTCCTCGTTCTCGTGCAACGTCATCATCAGCTGCCAAAGTTCAGTTCCAATACTCAAGACCGCAAGTACGGAGGACGCGTGAAACTTCCCGAATGTGTTCTTGATATCGAGGACGCACTGATGCAGACTTGAGCACCGAACTCACTCTGGAAGTCCCAGAAGTCATTGCGACTGGAGATGGGAAGCACCACATTTTATGTAGATTTATTATTAAAGTTCAGAGATATCACTTATTTACCTCAGGAGTTTCCCTAAATAAAACGGTGAAAGTAAACATTAACATGAATATCTTAATAAAGGAATAAACACATTAAGGATGTTTGTTCGGTGAAATTCGTATTAAAAAGTGTTTTATTTATATTGTGCAGAGTATATTTATAATGTTTTTATGCAAAGTATATATTTTGAAGAGGGGAAAAACAATAAATGGTTGTATGAGTGCTGTAATGTTTAAATAATTTCCATTTAAAATGCGTGAAGGTCATGTGACCGTCAGGAAGAACGCAGCATTTAATTTCTCACAGTGTTCTCTGTTTTCGCGGTCTCCTGAGTTCGTTCTTCCGAGGACACCTGGCAAGACCGGTCTCCACAAGAATGCAAGTTCGTTCTCTGCGTTCTTGGAATTGAGAAACAGCCAGTTTGATTCATTCTAAACCAAACATTTAAATGGCGAATATATTAACATTTCATAAATTTGTCAAAGTAAACTCTGATCTAACTGGCAAGAAGAGTGCACTTTTTGTGTCACGGGATATGATATCAGTCACCCTTCAAGCTTTCATTACATTGCTTTATCATTTTAAGCAGAAGTCAATGCTGCTTCAAGGACAAAGGCGCAAACCTAAGCTGAACAACAGTGATCTCCGATCCCTCAGTGCATCAAGAATCCTTTTTCATCTATAAGTGATATCACCACGTGGGCTTTATCACATACCACAATACATAGTTACATCCACAAATGCCTGTGATAACTGTACTGTGTCAAAAGGAAGCCCTATGTTAACATTGTCAGAAGTGCCGTTGACTTCTCGGAGGCATCTGGCATGCATCATGACTCAGTGGAAACGTCTTCTATGGTCAGATGAATCAGTATTTCAGGTATTTTTTGGGAGAAATGCACGCCATGTGCTCCGGACCAAAGAAGAAAAGAATAATCCAGACTGTTATCAGCAACAAGTCCAAACGCCATTCTGAGTGTGCTCTGCACATCTGAGCTGAGTGGGACAAACCACATGTAGGTGAGACTCTTTTCCTTTTCACATGCACCTTCTTATATGTACCTCATACTTCTTGAAAACACTGTGCACAGGGCTTGACAAACCATCTATTGGACACACTCTCTCCTCTCTTTCAAAGCCCCCAACCTTGTAGATTTAGTAAAGTAGACTTGTCATAGCATTTATATACTGCTACTCTCTGTTGATCTGAAGTGCTTCTTTTATCCTCATTTGTAAGTGGCTTTAGATAAATCCTCTGCTAAATGAATAAAAGAGGAAAAACACTTCAGCCAGATCCGAAGAGAAAATTCTTTAGCATAAACAGGTTAAAGACATTCTTTGTTTTGAGATTTCGATAACGGCGCATATGCCACTAAACAGGCTACTGTAAACCTTAGCAAATCATGTGGCACAGTTCCCTTTAAAAGGGAAACTCCTACAAACACATTTGTAATAGACTAAGCTGCAAAAATAAATATCTACGCTTTTTGGTTGCTAATTTATCAGTGCTTGCCTGTAGTAAATCCTGACAGTTGTTTTTTATTGCCAAAACTGTGTTGAAACGCTGGAGTGAGCTAGCTGTTAGTAAATCTGCTGCTACATGTGTAAAATGTGGTGCTTGACTGCTCATTATCTTAGGTCGTATTTTATATTATATTAGCTCTGACCTGTGGAGTTCCTCCTCTTCTTGCGGTAACTTCCAAGTATGGCTCTAGGGGAAGTGGCCAGACTCTGAAGATTGGGAGAGGGCAGCACATCTTCAGGCTTGAACTCCGGGAGCTCTTTAAGACGCTCTTCGAAAGAGGAGCCAAAGAGTGCCCTGAGAAAAAGCCAGTATAACTTTTAGACAATGAAATAATCACAACGACAACTGTCAAATCACCAGACCTCATGAAAAAAGAGAACCACTTGTGTTTTAAAAATGTACAGTACTTAATGATTTTTAGAAGCAGGAATTAAGTGTAATGTGGTGTTCAAGCTGTATGGTGTAAAAGGTCAAATGTTCAAAGTCTCTAATAAAAGCAATCATTTTAGAAGAAATGTTTGAAGTTAGTAAATGGAAAAATAACTAATATTTGTTTCTGTTTTTCAAATCTGAATAAAATTTTCTAATTATTAAATCTAAACAAATCATTCATTTTGAACAAATCTTTCAAATGAATGATTCATAATCACAAGTTAAAACTTGAGCTTGTCGCCACCTACTGGCAGTACCAATGACAGACCTATGGGCTGAATACTTTTTCGTTCTGAGAACGCACCATGCTGCCTATTTTTGTTGACAAGAAAAAAAGAGCGGTGCTGCGTATTTTATGTCGCTAGGCAACCACTGAATCAGCTGAGTATTGTGCTGCTGTTGACATTGTTATAATTGTAATATTTAATAATATTGTGATATTCAGGATTTGTGAAGTCATACAGCTCTAGATAACTCCAAACTCCGACCACTAGTCTCTCCTCATTTTTTAAAAGTCTACGTAGTCATCTTGACAACACAAACACTGCTGTCACCTCATTGGAAACCCCACCTCTGCTTTCATTTGATTGGACAATAAAAAGACGTGACCGAAGTATCGCGCTTTTTCCGCTCAAAGTAAAAATGTTTTAGACCGTACACGCATAACTCACAACGGCAAAAATGTGAATCCCGCATAAGCAGCGCACAAAACGCTTGTGGCTATTAGAAAACTATTTTAAAAAAGACACCTCTCATCGCAAAGAGCGAGTTCAGTGTGATCAAGGTCTAAATCGGTAAATATACCACAGTAAAAAAACACATAGCAAAAAATCATACAACACACGTAGGCGGGACGGTGGCTTATTGGTTAGCACTGTCGCCTCACAGCAACAAGGTCACTGGTTCGAGACCCAGCTGGGCCAGTTGGCATTTCTGTGTGGAGTTTGCATGTTCTCCCCGTGTTGGCGTGGGTTTTTTCCAAATGCTCTGGTTTCCTCCTCAGTCCAAAGACATGCGCTATAGGTGAATTGTATGAACTAAATTGGCTGTAGAGTTTGAATGAGAGGGTGAGAGAGTGTATGGGTGAATAAAAAATGCTCACGCCAATTACAAAACCATTTAAAAAAGGCACCTCTCATCACAAAAAGTACATTTGTGTGTGATCAAATCTGCAAACATATAACAACAAAAACACACATAACCAGCAGCTAGCTCTCTGCAACTTTCCCATGGTCGCCCACCGAAGCTAAGCAGGGCTGCGCCCGCTCAGTAACTGAATGGGAGACCACATGGGAAAGCTAGGTTGCTGCCTGAAGTGGTTTTAGTGAGACCAGTAAAGGGCGCTCAACCTGTGGTCTGTGTGCATCTCAATCCCCCAGTATAGTGACAGGGACTCTATACTGCTCAGTGAGCGCCATCTTTTGGATGAGACGTTAAATCTAGGTCCTGACTCTATGTGGTCGATAAAAAAAACTCGGGATGTCCTGCGAAAAAAATTAGCGGTCTAATGCTGTGTTCACACCAGACGCGGAACGCACGGATAAACCACGTTATTCACGCATAAATAGCCGGGTGAACATTTGAGTTTACTCGCTTCATTCGCGTGTCAAATTCACATCAGAACAGACGTGGATTCGCATGATGGGCAGGGCTTCTGTCTGCCCGAAGATTCTAGCTTCATAGCTAAAAGGCTAACATGGATTTTATGAAGAAAATAACAGTGTTTATGTGCTTTATGAAGACTGAAAAACAGCATCGATACGTTTAGTGTCGTGTCTGAGTCCACTACATTCTTTCAGAGATGCATCCAGCTCTGTGAGCTCATAAACTCCTCCAGAAACTTAACCTGGATGACAGAGGCTTTCAGCGGTGCTTCTGACTAAGCCAAGCCGAGTTTGATAAACTGTTGTTGGTGAAGGCTGGAGGATTTCCCTCGGAACACCGACAACAGGTTTTTAGATTTTCGAAATCGAGAGATTCGTGCGAAACGCTAGTTAAGCGCGTCAAACGCTCAATTCGCCTCGCGCCATTCGCGCAATTTGCGTCATTCACGCTGCGCCATTCGCGCGTAACGCACCGCAGGATGTCTATTCGCGCGTTTGCATTGACTTAACATGTAAATCACTCGCGCTTGATGCGCGTGCCGCATCTGGTGTGAACGCAGCATAACCTCGGCATCCTGGTCACTGGCCTTTGTCTATCATGGCCTTCTAACCATCCCCATATCATAATAGGCCTCATCACTCTCTCCACCAATCAACTGGGGTGTGGTCTGGCGCAATACAGCTGCCGTTGCATCATTCAGGTGGATGCTGCACACTGATGGCGGATGAGGAGATTCCCCCCAAAACTGTGCTTTGAGCGCCAGAAAAGCGCTATATAAATGTAAGGAATTATTATTATTTATTATTATTATTATTATTATTATTGTTACATAGCAAAAATAGTATGACTATCATTATCAAGAAAATCAAATACGCTCACAGCAATTAGAAAACCATTTAAAAAAGGTCTCTTATTGCAAAAAATGAGTTTGGTGTGATTAAGGGCTAAATCTGCCAATAAATCAAAAAAAAAACACATATCAAAAAAATAGTATCATTATCAAGAAAATACTGTGATATAATGTTCCTCGAATATTGCACATCATATATACATACACCTGATAATAAAACACACTGTATTTGACTGATTTTAGGCAATGACACTCACTTGTCACCAGAATCAGTGGTGCTTTTTAGTGGAGGAGGACGAAACTTGATCTTTTTAGCTGAAGGGGTGTCAGTCTGCAAAGGGGGCGGCGGGGGGTCCAGAACAGATTTTTCCTTTGACGCTGCCTGAATGAAACATTAATAAATAATGTGAAGTTCAAAACGTATGTGATGAAATTTGTACTGTAGAAGTGAGAAAAGCTTCTTACCTCTTCATCTTTGCTGTTGGTCTCAGTTTGAGCCTCTGACTCTCCTTCTGCTGCTCTTGCTCTCTCTGACTGAGATGAACTTCCTCCCACTTCTCTCTCAAACTCTCGCTCTGTTTTACTGCTTTTCTTTCCACCCTCCTTCCCTTCGCAGTGCTGACCTGTTAAACATTTAAACATGACTTTTAAAGAACTGCAAGCATATTCGGTAGTAGACAAATGCTTTTCCTGTCGGCTGATGGTGACTGTGAAATGGCCAAAATAGAATTTTTGTAGCATCACTGTGATGTTGCAAAAAAAAAAAAGCGCTGGACAATATGACCATTAATTTCATATCACAAAATAAGTAATCTCATATCCTGATAAAGATCCCAATCATGTGTGTAAATTCAATGAATTAATAGTGTATAAATATTGACCACGTGCAAAGCGCTATTTCTCTTTACATTATTAAGCATATACACAGAAATGTACTTATTCATATGTAATGAAATTTTAGATAGGGCAGGGCAAATGTTTGATAAATAATATGTAGAAATATAAAATATTAATAAAAATAAAACACTTTTAAAACTAATGATTACATGTCCTATGTAAAAATAAAATAAAAAAATGCAGAAAATCTAGTCCATGCTTTTATGACTTCTAGGCTGGATTACTGTAATGCTCTGTTTGCCCAGCATCCTCTATTAATAAAGTTCAGTTGGTGCAAAATGCTTACCAGGTCTAGAAAATATGATCATATCACCCCAATTTCATCCTCCCTACACTGGCCACCTATCAAGTTCCGTATTGATTATAAAATATTGCTTCTTACCTATAAAGCTTTAAATAATCTAGTTCCTGTTTTTCTTTTTTGTTCAAATCTTTTTATTAACATTTTGTTAACATATTAAGCAAATTTTTAATCTGTTTTACATCATATCATGATATATGCATATATATAAGTAGATAAAAGAAGAAATAAAATAATATAGATAAAAAGGAAAAAAAAGAAAATGGAGGAAAGAAAACAAAAACAAAACAACGGTCAGACTGCAAATATTAAGTTTGGATCTATTTGCTCTTTAGATGTCAGCACTGGCTGCCAAATAAGATACATTTTTTTTCACTGCAACGTCTGGTGGAATACTGAATCTTCTCCCTTGTAAAAGGTGCGCAAGATCTCCAATCCAACGACTAAAAGTTGGAGGAAATTTGTCCTTCCATTTGAGCAGTATAAAATGTCTAGCAATTAATGTTAAAAATAAATTATACTTTTGGTATTATTGTCCAAACGGATCTGTAATTAAACCAAATAATACTACAATAGGGCAAGAGTCAATTGATACATGCAAAATATTTGAAAAGTAATTAAATAATAATTGCCAGAGCTTGGTAAGTTTAGAACATGACTTAAACGTGTGTGATTAGCTATCTCTACTTCACATCTATAACAAGGGTTGGTGAAAATTTAGCTAATTTTGCTTTTGTCCAATGTAGGTGATGGACCACTTTTAGCTCCAGTTTTTCTAACCAACCTTCTGCCTCGCTACAATCCAACCCACTCTTTAAGATCTCAAAACTCAGGATTTCTGGTAGTACCCAGAATACAAAAACCTACTAAAAGAGGTCGAGCCTTCTCATTTATGGCTCCTAAACTCAGAGATAGCTTTCCTGATGATGTCCGAGGCTCAGACACACTCTCTCAGTTTAAAACTAGAATAAAGACATATCTTTTTGGTAAAGCATACACACAATGCATCACATAACTGTATGAGGGTTTCTGGTAGTACATTGAGGTCCTACATTCTCTCCAACAAGAGCCCAAACTTTCAATACCTGTACGCAATGCAGAGAGTTTAGGAGTTTAAAGAACTTATGAATATTATGTAAACTGTGTGTTTGTAAACATGTTTTTTATTTATTAATACCTTTTTTTTTCTTCTTCTTTTGTATTATTGTGTTATTGTTTACGTCACACATATATATATATAATTCAAATATTGTATATGTATGTATGTTCGTATATGTGTGTATGTATGTGTATGTATGTATATGTGTATATGTGTGTATGTATGTATGTATGTATGTATGTATGTGTATATATATATATATATATATATATATATATATATATATATATATATATATATATATATATATATTTATTTATTTATTACTATAATTTTTTTTTTTTTTTTTGTATGGGTGTATATACATATATATAAGAAGGGTGTAGATATGTGCTGTGTAGGCTGCATTGTTGTCTGTATGCCTAGTTGATGGGGTGAAAAGGAAAAAAATCAATAAACATATTGGGGGAAAAAAAAGGAGTTTAAAGAACTTCATCAGATTTTTCCATCCAAACTCTCTCCAAGCTCTCGAGTTTGTGGTTTTTGCATGTGTCACACACATATCTGTCCAGTCTTCCGCTGTTATTTGATGGTCTGACTCGTTCTCCCATTTTTGTTTTATGTAATTTATTGAATCTTACTGTTTTATATGCATTCATATAATTAAGAGACCAGTTGGTTTTTTTTATGTATGCATACAAAAATACTGTGATCAAATTATAATCATCCTTAAATTTGCTACCATACAAATGAAGCTAGGTTGCATTTACCTTTATGTGTGATTGATGTACATCCAGGTTGCACCGAATCCTCCGAACCACTGGGTGGCGCCCGAAGTCCATCCTTTGACACCAGCAGGTCTCTCTGCTTCTCCACCTCCTTTCTAGCTTCTGGTCCTCTCTCTGTTTCCATTTGCATGCTTACCTGAGACTGCGGCTGCGCATCTGTCTGTGTGCGTGTCTGCGCAGCGGTGACTGAAGAGGTTTTTGCTTGAGGCGTTGATGATGATGATGATGATGAGGCTGGAGCTGATGTGAGGCTTGATGTGCTTTGTGGCATGGCTGTTACTGACACGACTCCTCCAGCTAAACTAACGCTAGGGTAAATGGCGGTCACGAGCTGACGAGTGGCTGTGGAGGCTTGTGTGTTCTGTGTCAGTCCGCTTGGAGGTGGACATGGAGCCAGAAGGGGTGGCTGACCTGTGGAGCAAATTTGATCATGCTTGACATGTTTTTAAATTATACTTGTATTTACTTTTACTCTTGAATAATATATTGTGATGAATAAAAGTAAATAAATATGTAATGGTACTTTTTAATGGTTTTGTATTCAATTCCCAAACTGACCAAACACAACAACAACAACAATAATAATAATAATAATAATAATAAATGTTTCTTCTTTAGCAGATGGTGATACTACTGTATTTGAAGGATAATGTGACACTTAAGACTAATGCTTAAATTTACCTTGAAACCACAAAAAGAATATAATAATACAATAAGAGTTATTTACTGTAGTATGTCAAAATATTTCAGTTTCACAATGTTAATGTGACGCAGTGGCGCAGTAGGTAGTGCGGTCCTCACAGCAAGAAGGTCGCTGGTTCGAGCCTCGGCTCAGTTGGCATTTCTGTGTGGAGTTTGCATGTTCTTCCTGCGTTCGCACGGGTTTCCTACCGGGTGCTCCGCATTCCCCCACTGTCCAAAGACATGCGGTACAGGTGAATTGGGTTGGCTAAATTGTCCGTAGTGTATGTATGTGTGTGGATGTTTCCCAGAGATGGGTTGCGGGTTGAAGGGCATCTGCTGCGTAAAAACATGGGTGGATAAGTTGGCGGTTCATTCTGCTGTGGCGACCCCGAATTAATAAAGGGACTAAGCCGACAAGATAAACATGAAAAAGAATGTTCCTGTATTTTGTAATTAAATAAATCAGGGAATTGTTTGGAATCTGTAAGATTTGTAAAAAAAAAAAACATTTATAATAAGCTTTATCTGCTTACAAATGCTGCATTTATTTTATTAAAAATACAATAAAAACTGTGAAGTTGTTAAATGTTTTTGCAATACTAAATAACCGTTACTTTATTGCTATTATTATTATTATTATTTTACTATTATTATTTTATATTTGTGGTTTAAAGGTCAATTTTAAGCATGATTAATGTCTTTAATGTCACCTAATACTTCAAATACTTTTGTATCACAATCTGCTAAAGAAGAAATATTTATTTCTGTTGTTGTTAGTTTGGGAAACTAAACTAAATAAAATTATTTTCTTTTATTGATCACAATAATAATAATAATAATAATAATAATAATAATAATAATAATGATATAAATATATTGTATATAAATTACAATATATTGTAAATTGTTACAATATACAAATAATAATAAATTATTCAAGGATGAAAGTAAGTATATGATATACAGTGGGAAAAAAAGTGATGAAAATGTCATGTTTTTTTGGGAATAATATTTCTAAAGGAGCTGTTGACATGGAATTAAACCAGATTTTGGTAAAAACCCAAACAATAAAAACATAAAATAACAAAACAAAAAAAATCTTTCTTTTTTGTAATAACAATAGAATGACACGAAAATAAAGTACTGAACTACTGAAATGTATTTAATACATTATATAAAAGTCACATCAATTGCTCAGGTGTGAGTTTTTCACAGACTTCAACAGTGTGTAAAACTCTTGATGATTTTGTTGGTCTCGTCTATCAAATCTGATCTTTATTTAGTATTTTTCTATTGGATTCGAATCGGGCGATTGGCTGGGCCATTCTACAGCTTGATTTTCTTTCTCCGAAAGCGCTTGAGAGTTTCCTTGGTTTTGAATGCCATTTTGAATACTTATTTCCCCCACTGTAAATATAAAATAAAGTAAATATAAAATATTTTTAATGTAAGAAAACAAGACATTGCAGATAAGAGCTTTTTTTATATCAAACAAAGTCAAAATATATCAGTTTCCACAATACTTTGAAGCAAGGCGATATTTTTTCAGCACTGATAATTGTGAGAATCATTCTTAGTGATTTTCAACCACTAACAACTGGTCATATTAGAGAAGCAAAACATCATATTATAATGATTTCTGAAGCATCATGTGATACTAAAGACTGGAATAATAATGATGATAATGAAGAAAGATCAGCTTTGAATCAAAGGAATAAAATAAAATATTTATAATAAGAGAACAATTATTTCAAATTCTAATAATGTTTCACAATTAAACAGTTTTTACTGTATTTTTGATTAAATAAGTGCAGCTTTGGTAAGAAAAATTAGCTTCTTTTATAGATTAAAAACTTAGAATGGTGGTGTATGTACATTGTTGTGTATGTGGTGGCGAGTTGTCAGAGGTTGTACTCACTTGCAACAATAGGCTGAACCAAGGTCTGTCCAGCAGGGGCAATTGCAGTAAACCCGAGTGTCGCTACTGGAGATTGCAGAAAAGATGGACCTGCGGGTGACGGGGCCTGCTGGGTGGAGGAGACCGCAGGTGTAGAAGCCAATGGCAAAGGAGCCGCGACTCCAGGTGTTGATTGGACATAAGTGATCCTGAACAACAAAAGCAGAAAGTTTGAGTTGCAAAAAGTAAGACTTCTTTCTTATGCTGCGTTCACACCAGACGCGGAAGAAGCGTCAAGCGCGAGTGAATTACATGTTAAGTCAATGCAAACGTGCGAATAGACATCATGCGGCGCGATTCGCGCGAATAGCAAATTGAGCATTTTGCGTGTTTGATGCGCTTATCCCGCGTTTCACGCGAATCCCTTGAGTTCAAAAATCTGAGCTTAAGCGAACATTTGCGTTAACCAATTAGGAGCTTGCTCTTGTAGGGGCGTGATGGTGACATAGCGCCAGTTGTTGGTGTCCCGGAGAAACATCCTCCATCCGATACAGACAACAGTTTATCAAACTGGGCTTGGCTCAGTCAGAACCACCGCTAAAAGCCTCAATCATCCTAGTTAAGTTTCTGGAGGAGTTTATGAGCTCACAGAGCTGGATGCACCTTTGAAAGGATCTAGAGGACTCAGACATGGCCCTAAACGTATCGACAATGTTTTTCATCTTTCGTAAAGCACATCAACACTGTTATTTTCTTAATAAAATCCATGTTAGCCATTTAGCATGGAAGCTAGAGTCACCGGGCAGACAGAAGCCCTGCCCAACACCCAAATCCGCGTCTGTTCTGAAGTGAGAATGAAGCGGATTTGACGTGCGAATGAATCGGGGTTTGCTACATGAATGAAGCGAGTAAATGCAAATGTTCACACGGCTATTTATGCGCAAATATCACGATTTACCCACGCGTTCCGCATCTGGTGTAAACACAGCATTAGAAGACAAAAGCACTAATGTTTTTTTACTAGGCGGAAATTCAAACTGTGTCCCTGATGACGTTTGACGGTTGCCAAATCAGTGAAATAAATGACCACACTATCAAATAATACCTGCCATGAGTATAACCACAGTCACCAACGAGAGGCGCTATAATCACTCTTGTAGGAGAAATTTGCTTTCACAATCCAACATGTGCGCTCTATAGCTCTGCCCCTTCCGCTACGTGAGCAAACCTGCAGTTTTTGAGTGTGTGAAGTGTCCAACATTACACACTTCATTTTACCAGTTGAATGAGTGCATCACCTGGGTAATTAAAGTGCTTGCACTACTTACACTCTACTTACACTTTTCAGTGTGAACGCACTACTTACACTCTTTAAACTAAAAAATGGTGTAGAATATTGCATACGTATGCAATTTGGGACACAGCTAAACTCTTAATCAGGTCTACCTCTAAAATGAGAAGAAAGTGTACATTTTTTACACCATAAATAATTTTTATTGAGATTTTTTTTATTGTTTTAACCAAAAATTTGTTTCATTCTTTTGTTCTCCTTCAGCTTAGTCCCTATATTAAATAGGGGTCTCCACAGCGAAGAAGGATGGAATCTTAGTTTTCAGTGACCAAAAAAAAAGTGGGCGACGTAGTGGGTAGTGCTGTCGCCTCACAGCAAGAAGGTCGCTGGGTCGCTGGTTCGAGCCTTGGCTGGATCAGTTGGCGTTTCTGTGTGGAGTTTGCATGTTCTCCCTGCGTTTGCTCCAGTTTCCCCACAATCCAAAGACATGCGGTACAGGTAAGCTAAATTGTCCATAGTGTATGAGTGTGTGTGTGTGTGTGAATGAGTGTGTGTGGATGGATGTTTCCCAGAGATGCGTTGTGGCTGTAAGGGCGTCCGCTGCGTAAAAATGTGCTGGATAAGTTGGCGGTTCATTCCGCTGTGGCGACCCCAGATTAATAAAGGGCCTAAGCGAAAAGAAAATGAATGAATGAAAAAAAAGTGTCAACTTGTCAAACAAACAAGTTGTTTCCAATGTTTCCGTTAAAATCAATTAAGCCTAAACCTAGGTTTCCCCCTATCCCTAAAATCTGTCAGTATATAGGATGTTGTCCCACGACCAAGAAGGATGTTGACCCAGGAGCATGTCCTAGTTGGCACAGAGTTACTAGAGGTTAGTCTGGGTTATGTTTCAATACTCCGCCATCTGGCAGCAGTGTAAAAGAGACAGTGGGTATTGGAGAACCTTGTTGGTGGTGGCGTCAGCAGCACCGTCTGAGGAGGGGTGGATCCCGGGGCCATGACACTCGCGGTTGGCATAGACACAGGAAATGAGCTGCTGGTATGCACTGATCCTCCAGGATGCACGTTTGTTTGGACCACAGGCATTGGGGCGATCTGGATGATCTGAGAAGAGTACAAATCAGACTGTTTTAAATACAATACATGCAGTGAGAACTCGGAATAATTAGCCCTCCTGATTTATTAGCCCCCCTATATATATTTTTATATATACATGCGCTACATGCACATTTTCAAAGCAGAATATCTGACTTTAACATTGTTTTTCAGATAAACGAAAATGTTCACTTAACATGTTTATGAAATATCTGCAAACATTTTATGGTATTTTTATGATTTAAAACAGTTTAAAATCTACATACGTTAAATTTTTAATGGTTAAAAAACTGCTTTTATTCTAGCCAAAATAAAACAAATAAGACTTTCTCTAAAAGAAAAAATATTATCGCAAATATTGTGCAAAATTTCTTGCTCTGTTAAACATCAAATGGAAAATATTTGAAAAACAATAATAATTTTGACTTTAACTGTATAGGTGTTGTTAATAGAGTTAGATAGTAACACTAGGCAACGTACCTTACTTCCTGGAGCACCGTTTTGAACAGGAAGAGGCGGGCCCACCAGGGAAATTGGCTGCGGAGGTGTAGATCCTGTTCCGACAGTTGCCATGGGAACCAGCATCTTGCTCTGCAGGACAGGGGACTGCGCTTGAACTGAGCAGAGAGATGAACACCACTGATATAGCGCAGACCGAGAATAGACTTGATGAACTAACTGCCTAATTTGCCAAACACTGTCTGCAGAATCCCGCTCGGTGTGAGAGCGAGAAACCACATTAAATCCCTTCAAAAGGCGTGAATGCAAACGTGCTAAAGAATGTGGACACTACAGGGTTCCCACATGTTTTGAAATGAATTTCAGTGGCTTGTTCATAAATGAGTCATTTTTTGAACTGACTTGACTGAATCATTGAAAAGAATTCACTCAAATATTGGGATTCGTTTACTCAAAAAGCTGCTCAAATTTCAATCGTGGTGATTCACACCCAGAGGTTTTGCCTTGTTGAACTCAAAGCTATTAAAGCAGGGCTGCCCAAACATTTTCATATGAAGGGCCAAAAACCAAACTGGATTGAGGCAAGGTAAATATAGCTGGCATGGGTCATTTTCTAATTTATTTAATAATATTTAAACATGTCTATTGAAGACTAGAAAACATGGCGTTATATTAACCAATATAGTATTTTTTTACATTTTATATTAAACTTATTACAGTGAAAACAAAAGAATCTCATTTAAAACAGAATTACACTAGTTTTTGCCTTGATTTACTCGCCAATGTCTTCTGCATAGTGACAATATTTACATTTTTTAAAAATCTAATTCATTTATAACATTTAATTAAAACATTAGATTTCAGTTTGCTTTTTTTGTAGCTCAGCAATAAAACAAACAGATTAAAGCTGCAAGCAGCGATGAAAGGGACCCAACAAAAAAAGGCATTCAACCCACCCCTCTCCATCATTCTCACTCTTCTCTCAGAATGGATGGTGGACCGACTTTGTGCATCTCTGTATTAAAGAAATTGTAAATATTCGTGCTGCCAAAATAATCAATGTTATCAGTTACTTTCTTTTCTTTTTTTGACGATTATTTCAAAATTTTTTTAGATTGTATCCTAATAAACTGGATGTTTTTTTGGCTCATCGTTTTAGAACCTATTGGGTTTTCTCCATTGGTTAGGTTCATTTAGACATACAGTGGGTGAAATACATGGGAATACTTGTTTTCTAATGGAGCTGTTGACATGGAATTGAACCAGATTTTAATAAAAAAAATAAAAAAAACAATACAAGCATAAAAACGAAACAAAATAATTTAGAAAAAATTAGTTATGTGTAATAACAATAGAATGACACAGAGAGAAAGTACTGAACTACTGAAATGTATTGAGTACTTTATATAAAAGGCTTTTTTGGTGACGGCACCTTAAAGACAACTCTCATATAGAGAATGAAGTCAAATGTATTTCTCAGGTGTAATTTTTTTTCACAGACTTCAACAGTTTAAATATCTTGATGGTTCTGTGGGTCTCGTCTATCAAATCTGATATTTAATTTGTGTTTTCTATTGGATTCGGGTCAGATGATTGGATGTGCATTTGAGAGTTTCCTTGGCTGTGTTTTGGATCATTGTCTTGCTGAAATGTCCACTTTGGTTTCATCTTCATAATCTTGCTTATGTAGATGTTAGACTGAAGCAGCTGATATTCATTTACAATGAGGAAGGGTGGATAATTGCTGAATAACTACTGAGATTTCAGCTGCTGTCTGGACTTTTACTGCGTGTCTACAGCTCCCTTTCTTCATGTGTTCAATACTTTTCCTTGTGTCATTTAATTTTATTACACATTACTTAATAAGTAAATAATTAGTTTTGTTTCCTTTGCATCCGGTACTTACATCCGGTATCAGCACATTAAGAAATATGTTTTATTAGAGAAATCATGAAATGTTCAATACTTATTTCCCCCACTGTATATGTACATGATAATAGTGTTCAGACCTGCACTAAAAAAAAATCTATCTGAGAAGGAGGTGTCTCGACCTATTCCCAAAAAGTCTCTGGAGCAGGTGAGAGAAAAGGTTGGGGTGAGAAAACGATCACCCAAAAGACCAAGAAAAGATATCATCCTTCATAACAGTAAATGTGCTACATAAAATGAAGCAGTGCCTGATCTGTAAATGAGCGCATTAGTTACTGCAGTTTAAACCTAATAGCACTGCTTCATCTTATGTTGTGCAATTGCTCTACTCTGTGAATTGCAAAAATGCCTTCCTGATGAAGCCTTGAGTCGCACTTTAACTGCTTTATGAATTACTGAAATCATTTTAAATATGATTAAATGTATATCATTCATCAGTCACAGCAGGAAATGGGAGCTAATGACAAGCATAAACAGCAAATGACAAATGTATAACCGTGCACTCTGACCAATGAGAGGGCTGTTTCACTCCCATGTGACTTGCAAATGCACACTTTGATGGACTTTTAAATATTAACCTGTGACAGTGAATTGAACTAAGCAAAAACAAAGCAAACAATCTACAGGTCTGAAAAAGCCCTTGTGGCACATTTACATCGGGCGTCAACGCTTGCCGGAAGGCATGTCTGAAGTTTGGTGCGGATGCGATCGTCATAGTAGCGTCAGCCAATGAAATTAGACCTCAATTGGGTACTGTCTGAGCTAGGGTATTTGGATAAAGAGAAATGATTGGCTGACACTTCTGTTGGTGCTTGAAAAGTTGAGAAATCCCCAACTTCTGCAAAGAGCAATACCGCTGACCCAGCGCCAACAGATCCACAATTTAGTTCGGTAATGCTTGATGTCACTTATTCAAATTGAATCTGAAGCGTTGACATTGAATAAATAATTTTTCTAATCTAAACAACTCGAAGAGGATGAAATAACAGGTCTAAACTGGCTGCAAAATATTTGTACACCATTAGTAATGGTTAATCAACTAATTTGCCTTATTTAAATAATCTACACGTTTTAATCTTGTAATTATGATAATTTCTTTGAGATATTGTCTGTTTATATTCCTTTCCTGTCATTTATTTCTCATTTGCTGATTATTTTATTTATTTTGATGATGTTAATATATTATATAGGCTATTTTATATGCATATCTAAAATGTTTTAAGTTCGTTCTTCAAGTTTGCTTTGAACTTAAAAGAGATTTATTTTTTATTTCAACACGTTTTTTTGTTTTTGTTTTTTTTTACTTTAACCCAGGGATCACCAAACTTGTTCCTGGAGGGCCGGTGTCCAGCAGATTTGAGCTCCAACCCTAATCAAACACACCTGAACTAGCTGATCAAGGTCTGACTAGGTATACTTGAAACACGCAGGCAGGTGTGTTGAGACTAGTTGGAGCTAAACCCTGCAGGGACACCGGCCCTCCAGGACCGAGATTGGTGACCCCTGCTTTAACCCATCAAAAAAGAAACAGTGTATAATAGTGTCATAATAAATCAAAATATTGTTAAAAATTAAATTATGTTTTGCTTTTCACATATAGTTAACTATTTATATGATGTGGCTAAATGGTGTGTTTTAATCTGGCTGCCAACACAAGTATGTTTCAAACCTGTGGGAAGCACTGTTCAGCATATAAAATCGGCATTAGCCGTCTGTGAAAAAGAGCGCTGTGATTGGTTGTTGAGCTAAGAGGTCGGTTGTTGTTAGGTCACATTTTGAAAATATTTGCAAAATATAGATTTTCAGATTATCAGACATATTTGTATAATATGTACAAATATGTACTGGATCCCTCCGTGGTGAGTGAGAGAAACTGTAATGCTATTGGTACATGAATGCTGCTTTGTTTATGGTTTGTATGTCACTAGTTCCAGTTTCCCTTTGTGGAATGATAATAGATACTACTATCTGTGGGTATGAAAAGATCCATCCTCTCACACAAACATAGAATGCATACAGCTTTTTGGTTCAGATGGGACTAGATAATAATAATATTAATTAATTTTTATATAGCGCCTTTTAAACTAAATTCTCAAAGTGCTTTACTCAAAAAAATACAGTTTGGAGTAACAATAAAAATAATATATTCAAAATAGAAAAAACATTCAAATATCTAAAATCATAAAACACACTAAGAATACACACCTCACAAATAGGCCAGTTTAAAGAAGCAGAATGTAAAGATGCAGCTGATGTGAGGCGGCAAACCTGGTTTGCTCCACCGCTAATTCTTTGATGTCAGATTGGTGTGTTCCAGGTTCAAAACTTTGAACAGTCACATACACTAATTAAGTCAATGTTATTTATTTTAAAACAACGCCAAAATGACATATAATTACTTCTATTTACAACAATGATCTGTTGCCAATGTGGGAAGCCCATGACCAAACTCGCTAGTCTTGTCTAAAGGCTGATTTATGTTCTGCAGTGTGCGCAGATGGTCCTGCACAACCTTCGCACAGTCGCATACACTTCACCGTGGCTGACACGCACGTGGCACGTCTTGAAAAATGTAACGACATGACACACTAAAGCGCAACGCAAGCTCTGTGATAGGTCAGCTTGGTAGCATTAACGAGTGTGGAGGCGATGAGAGTCGCGGGAGAACAGTTAAGGCCCGTGCACACCGAGACGTTTTTTGCTCGCGTTTTCCGTCGACGTTTAACGCCTCGTAACTAAATAAAGGCCGTCAATGTGATCATGCATACCAACGCGCAAAACGCCAGGCGCAAAATCGTCATTTTTAAAAAAACACCTCATGGTCGTTTTTTGTTTGACGCATGACGTCAAAACCTTCTCCACCAATCAGATCAGCACTTTTTTTGTTCACGTGCACGGACCTGCTGAAGTTACCGTAAACAGCACTTGGAGGCGCTCAAGCGCAAAACTGTCAATGCGAGCGCACATTGAAGAAGATGCCCAGAGGCGTTATGAACGTGGAGCTGCTTATTGCAAACAATAATCATTTCTTCATCGCTAGAGCAGAAGCTGCTGCTTGAACCATCCATGCTTGTTCGAGTTACCAGTAACTTTATAAACAAACGTGTGAACTTCCTCTCCTACTCTTCTTCTGTGTTATAAGCGGGTGTCAGAAGCTTAATGTTGTGCAGCGCCATCTAACGTCAAAAGAGTGATTTTGCATACTCTTTTGCTTGACGCCAATGAAAAGCGATTGGGTTTGAACACAGAAAAATGTCTCGTAAAACACTGCCGATAAACACAAACTAAAAACGTCCCGGTGTGTAGGAGCCTTTAGTCTTTTAAAGCAAGTGTTTACTGTCAAGTCCTGGGGAGGAGCTAAATTTGGATGCTTTTGTTTTGCGTTTACCTTATGATTAAAGTTGTTGCACGTTTGCTAGTTCCTGCCTCTGAATGAGTGAACTTTAGTTACTTGTACATTAAAGTAGCGTTCAGAAAAAACAAAACGGCCACAAGGAAATACAACACAGAGGAACATAAAAACCTGCTGCCAGCTAGCGTTTCGACAGTGGCCGAGCAACACAAACAGAACACACCGGCGATCACTCGATGCAGAAGTATACATCAGCCTAAATTTCACCACCACAACTGAACCTTAAATCTCACCTCCTCCAGGACTGACTCCGCCCACTGCTGAGACTGAAGCATATCTTATTCCTTGACCCGCCCCTGAATGCACTCCATTGGCTAGGGTCACATGGGTGGGTGTGGCACCGGGTAAAGCCAGGACGCTGGAGGGCTGTTGGGTCTGCTGGGTGGAGGGACTGTTGGGATTGGCAGCTGCGGGCAGAGTTGGAAGGATGTACTGCACCTGTGTGACAGGTTTGCCCCCACTAGGGGACGTAATAGAGGTGGCGGGAAGAAACTGATGATGGAGAAGAGGAAGGGGCACTGCATTGTTATTAGGGGCTCCGTTGCATGGAGTAGGATGGGGTGGGGTAATGAGCTGAACGGTGGGTTGGTTAGGAAAGGTTCCTCCAAGGACTAAACCAGTAACTAAGCTTCCTTGACCGCTAGGTTTTGGAGAAGAGGAGGGAAAGTACCCACCTCCTCCTGCACCGCCGGTACCGATCAATAGCTTGGGCTTGCCGTCTAGAGGAAGGGTCCCGACCGCCACACCCCCATCAACTGGCTTGCTGGCGATGGGAACCGGGGTGCTAGTTATGGGTCGAACAACGTTGGTCACTATAGTGGGGGCCATCCTGACGGTGCCCTGTGAATGGTACGCATCATGCAGCAAAGTGGAATTTATATGAGTAACAGAGGCTGAATTGGCGTGGAATGGAACCTGCCCTCCTCCACCTCCTCCTTCTCCTTCTTTGGGCCCGCCATTATCCAGCTCTGCACCACCCAGCCCTCGCTTTTTCTTTTTCGCCAGATTCTCTTCATGCCTGTCTTCATGTTTGTTGGCAGTTGGAGTGAATGTCAATGAGGAATGGAGTACAGGTGTGAAGGTGCGCTGGAGAGAAGACAATTCATGATATCAGATTAATATTATATTCAGATATTCTGATCATTTCATTCACATACTTGGCAGAAAATTACATTTTGATGTTAATTACATTACTTGGAATTCCAATATGTGTAATGGACAATTAGAGAAATCTGTTTAAAAATACAACAACTTTAATTTTGATTTGTCATCATATTTATGTATTTTACTAGGATCACATTAAAACTATAACTATTTTTTTCTTTTATTTCATGCATTGCTGTAAATAAAACCCATGGTGTTAAAACTCAAACTTATGTTCTAATATTTTAGCACCAAGAAGGTTTTTGTTTGTAGCTGTTAAGTGTGACGTCAAGCAAAGCGAGTTCAGAGTACGATCGCTCTATCAAACTGTATGGGGAGACTCAACAAATCGTAATAATAAATATTTACAAAGCGATGTAATACTTTCGAAAATCATGATTGTAATATATACAGTTGAAGTCAGAATTATTAGCCCCCCCCGTTTATTTTTTCCCCAATTTCTGTTTAACAGAGAGAAGATTTTTTTCAACACATTTCTAAACATAATAGTTTTAATAATTCATTTCTAATAACTGATTTATTTTATCTTTGCCATGATGACAGTTAATAATAATTTAAAGTATTTAAAGGCTTAACTAGGTTAATTAGGTTAACTAGGCAGGATATAGCAGATTAGTGAATAACAATGGGTGACGCGGTGGCGCAGTGGGTAACGCTCTCGCCTTACAGCAAGAAGGTCGCTGGTTCAAGCCTCGGCTGGGTCAGTTGGCATTTCAGTGTGAAGTTTGCATGTTCTCCCTGCAATCACAAGGGTTTCCTCCAGGTGCTCCGGTTTCCCCCCACAGTCCAAAGACATGCGGTACAGGTGAATTAGGTAAGCTAAAATTGTCCGTAGTGTGTGAATGAGAATGTATGGGTGTTTCCTAGTGATGGGTTGCGGCTGGAAAGGCATCCCCTGTGTAAAACATATGCTGGATAAGTTGGCGGTTCATTCCGCTTTGGCGACCCCAGATTAATAAAACAAGAAAATAAATGAATGAATAAATAACGATGGTTTATTCTGTAGAAAAAATATATACTTAAAATATTAATATTTTAATATTAAATATTTCTCAAATTATGTTTAACAGAGCAAGGAAATGTTCACAGTATGTCTGATAATATTTTTTTCTTCTGGAGAAAGTCTTATTTGTTTTACTTCGACAAGAATAAAAGAAGTTTATAACTTTTTTAAATACCACTTTAAGGTCAAAATTATTTGCCCCTTTAAGCTACATATTTTTTTTTTTCGATAGTCTACAGAACAAACCATCGTTATACAATAACTTGCCTAATTACCCTAACCTGCCTAGTTAACCTAATTAACCTAGTTAAGCCTTTAAATGTCACTTTAAGCTGTATAGAAGTGTCTTGAAAAATATCTAGTAAAATATTATTTACTGTCATCATGACAAAGATAAAATAAATTAGTTATTAGAAATGAGTTATTAAAACTATTATTTTTAGTAATGTGTTGAAAAAATCTGCTCTCCGTTTAACAGAAATTGGGGGGAAAAATAAACAGGGAGGCTGTGTGTGTGTGTGTGTGTGTGTGTGTGTGTGTGTGTGTGTATATATATACACATATACATGAAAACAAAACAGAAAGACAAAAAAGCTAATATATCGGGAGTAAAACCTGAAGATATAGTAGGTACTATCTAAAACAAATACACAGACACTGAAATGATCTGGTTTCATAAATAATTAAATGAGAGCAAATATTATTTCTGTTGCTATGGTAATGAGGCTTATCTAATTGAAAGCATATCTCAACAAGGGATCGATGTTCCTTTCACCAGCGAAAGACAAACATTAACTTTACTCAATACATCACAAAAAAATACTGACATTTTTTAAACATCACATATATAACTTATACAGTTGAATTTCTCAAATGATGTTTAACAGAGCAAGGTATTTTTCCCAGTATTTCCTATAATATTTTTTCCTTCTGGACAAAGTCTTATTTGTTTTTTTTCAGCTAGAATAAAAGCAGGTTTTAAATATTTAAAACCATTTTAATGTCAATATTATTAGGCCCTTTAAGCAATATTTTTCTTCAATTGTCTACAGAATAAATCATTTTTATACAATGACTTGCCTAATTAACCTAGCTAAGCCTTTAAATGTCACTTTAAGCTGAATATTAGTATCTTGAAAAATATCTTGTCAAATATAGTTATTAAAACTCTTATGTTTAGAAATGTGTTAAAAAATTCTGGGGCTAATAATTCAAGAGGACTAAAAATACCTCACAATGAACAGCTCATTTAAAATAATAGCTAACAAATGAATGTTTTCCACTCTTGTTAATCACTTTTACCATAATAAGCAATCTGTGGAGTGCAAAATGCTTATTAACTGTAACTGCACAAATAGCAATTTAACAAGAAGTCTTTCCAATCGGTTTAGTTGAACTGTGGGAAACACTACTTGTCATGTGAAGTCAACTACCCATGTGATGCGTTAGGTGTTACCTTGCTGTCAGCCTCATCTGCGTGCTCGTTTTCATCATCGCTGTCTGTCACTCTCTCCTTACACTTCAGGTCAATGGAGCCCTCTGCAAATGAGTCTTCTGCGGAGGAATCACACGTTAAGCTGTGAGACTTGGGCTTGCGTTTCTCACACTCATGGGACTGAAAAAGCTGAGCAATGAGGAGAGTTTGCCTTTCCAAAACGAGTTAATGGATGGTGGTGCATCAGAGAGAGCACAGAGCTCGTGGGAGACACAGACTCGAGGACTGACTAATAACGAAACTATGAGAACAGTCACGCAAAATGCTTGTAACATCAAAACAAAATGCCTGTAAGATAATCGTTTTCTGATGGTGGCTACGTTCTACATGCAACAGCATTATCTGCAGATCAGGTTTTCACACGATAAAAAATTCACACAATACCCCATAATGACAATGTGGAAACAAGAGTTCTTTACATTGTTGCAAATTTATTCAAAATAAAAAACCTGAAAAATCACATGTACATCAGTATTCACAGCCTTTGTTCAATATCTATGGCAGCAATTACAGCCTCAAGCCTTTTCGAATATGATGCCACAAGCTTGGCACACCTGGAATTTTTGCCCATTCCTCTTTGCAGTACCTTCAAGCTCTATCATGTTGGATGGGAAGTGACGGTGTACAGCCATTTTCAGATCTCAACAGAGATGTTCAATAGGATTTAGGTCTGGGCTCTGGTTTGGCCACTCAAGGACATTCACCGAGTTGTTGTGAAGTCACTCCATTGATATTTTGGCAGTGTGCTTTGGCTCATTGTCCTGCTGGAAGATGAACCGTCGCCTCAGTCTGAGGTCAAGAGCACTCTGAAGCAGGTTTTCATTCAGGATGTCTCTGTACATTGCTGCATTCATCTTTCCCTCTATCCTGACTAGTCTTCCAGTTCCTGCTGCTGAAAAACATCCCCACAGCATGATGCGTCACTGTAGGGATGGTATTAGCCTGGTGATGAGTGGTGCCTGGTTTTCTCCAATCGTAACGTCTGGCATTCACTCCAAAGAGTTAAATTTTAGTCTCATCAGACCAGAGAATTTAGTTTCCTATGGTCTGAGAGTCCTTCAGATGCCTTTTGGCAAATTCCAGGCGGGGAGTGGCTTCAGTCTGGTCACTCTACCATACAGCCTGATTGGTGGATTGCTGCACAGATGGTTGTCCTCCTGTAAGGTTCTTCTCTCTCCATAGAAGAACGCTGGAGCTCAGAGTGACCATCAGGTTATTGATCACCTCCCTGACTAAAGCCCTTCTTTCCCACTCAGCTTAGATGGAAAGCCAGCTCTAGGAAGAGTCCTGGTGGTTCCAAACATCTTCCACTCATGGATGATGGAGGCCACTGTGCTCATTGGAACTTTCAGAGCAGCAGAAATTTTTCTGTAACCTTCCCTAGTCTTGTGCCTCGAGACAATCCTGTCTCAGAGGTCTACAGACAATTCCTTTGTCTTCATGCTTGGTTTGTGCTTTGTCATGCACTGTCAACCCTGGGATCTTATATAGACAGGTGTATGCCTTTTCAAATAATGTCCAATCAACTGAATTTACCACAGGTGAACTCCAATTAGGCCGCTGAAACATCTCTAGAATGATCAGTGGAAACAGAATGTACCTGAGCTCAATTTAGAGCTTCACGGCAAAGGCTGTGAATACTGACGTACATGTGATTTTTCAGCTTTTCTATTTTTTAATAAACTTGCAGCCATTTCAAAAACTCTTTTCTCACATTGTCATTATGGGGTATTGTGTGTAGAATTTTGGGGAAATAAATTAATTTAATCCATTTTGGAATAAGGCTGTAACATAAAAAATGTGGAAAAAGTGATGTGTTATGAATACTTTCCGGATGCTCTTTATATATATAAACATACACTGAGGAAATATAGCTTTCATCTCATTCATTTACAGTACATTTACACTACATTTTATCAATTGTATTAAATATGTATTGTATCATAAAAGTATATAACAAATGCACATAACTTACCTATGACATCATCATCCCCCTCCTCACAGATCACCATGTGCTCTTCATCACTGGTCACATCCTCACTGGGGCGGCGCGGGCGAGTAAGAGGACGGGCCTGAAACAAACTCCCACTGTCCAGCTCTCTCTCCTTCTCCCTCCTCTCCAAAGTGTGCACGGCGCTCTGGGAAAAAGCACGAGGCCGCTGAAGCTGTCCTGCTGGTGATCGTCCGTGACAGTCAGATGGAGGTGAAGTCCAGCTGGGCCCTGCCCCTTTGTGTTCTGCACCCTGAGACGTTGAATGGGGCTCTGGGGAAACAGAGAAAGTTAATAATTCGCCATCAGTTACATTTCACACTACTATATACACTCATAGTTTCACAAGACCAACAAACACCCACTCATGTAAACAAACACCCACACGGACCTGTGCTTTCAGACACGCTGCGCTCGCGAGCATCTTTGGCCCCTGGAGTTCCCCGGCCCTCAGACAGGGACTTCCTTCGGTCCTTGTTACACCATTTCCAATCAGGGTGAGCCCGGAAATGAGCCTCCTTCACCTACAAGAGTGTGAAATTTAATGGTTAATGATAGAGTTATGCGATGAAAACATACACAAATCACCCATTATGCTTTGCCTGTATGTGCAAACAGGATGCTTCGAACATCAGGTCAGCAGCTGATGCATGTAAACAGTCACATTCAGACAGCTTTGAAATGATAGTTTTAAGAATAGTTTACTTTTTATGTCTTTAAACTTATACCGATGTTAATCAGCGCCACCTACTGGACTGATCATTTAAAAATGCGATCTAGTCAATGAAAAACAATCACAGTAAGAGTGCAATACTTGAAATTACTGAGGAAGAATGGAAAATAATTTTTAAAACACAGTGGAAATCAACATCCTCCTCGGTCTGGAAGGAATTTGGTTGGAAAAACATCATTCGTATTTTCGTCACCCCTAAGCAAAAGAGATACTTAAACAAAAAGGTAGTCTGCATGAGATTATCTGGCTCAAATGAAGCTAATTATTCACATATTTTCTGGAAATGTTTAAAAATTCAGGCATTTTGGCAAGAAATTCATAAATGTTTAGAAAATATATTCCATATCCCCATCGATTTTTTTTTCTCAACTTTATACTTAGGCCTTAAAAATCCTATGTTAGAAGAAAAATCTGACAAAAAAACTGCTGAAAATTTTGCTGATAGCCTGTAAAAAAGCTATTACCAAAAAAATGGTTACAGCTTGAAATACCTCAAATTAGTGACTGGTTTGACATAATTTATGAAATCTATAAGATAGAGAGGCTAACAATGAACCGTCGTCTACAGACGGAGGAGTTTAATGAGACATGGAGAAAATAGGTAGATCATATCTTGCCATTAAGATTTAATTAAATTAAATTCAGCTTTATTTGTATAGCGCTTTTACAATGTAGATTGTGTCAAAGCAGCTTCACATAAATGGTCATAGTAACTGGAACAGTGTAGTTCAGTTTTTTTTTTTTTTTTCAGTTTTTTTTTTTCAAGACCAGATTTATTATAGAATGAATGTATAGTTAGAAAGATGTGAATTTTATTTTGTTTATTTTATGTATTATTTCTAGTAATGAGAAAAACATAACAGAAAGAAGAACACTAGCTATTTTAAATATAGTATATTTAAGATCCTAAACGTACTATCCTCATAGTTCCATATGTACATAGTTTAGGTAATAAAAAAAATAAATAAATAAATAAATAAATTAATTAATTAATTAATTAATAAAAAAGACAAAAAGAAAAAGGGGTGACTGGGTGCCACAATATGACAAAAAGTACACAATTGAGAGTTGTAACTGAAAGGCAACAAATTAATTTTATCTGTTTATTTTTGATGATATACAAAACAATTATAAGTGTATTGTTTTCCTTATTTCTCATAATGTCCTTATTTCATTAATGTAACTTCCATTTTTATTAATGGAATTTTTTTGTATTATATCATTTCATTTATTTCTACAATTTTGGGAATCCGATCGTTTTGTGAATACACTGTGGAAAACCCTATCTGTATGTTAATTTGGAAACTACAATAAAAAAAATAAAAAAGAAGAAAAACAATCACAGCAAGTCATTTACCCTCACCGTCAGATGGCATCTTGTGCCATTTAAATAAAGCCTCGTCATCGCTAAAGTCAACAGTTTCTCTTTCTTTCAAATATATAACCAACCCAAACAAATGTACTCCACCAAAATGTCTGACACACACGCGTAGCCTACTGTACTGTCCCACTAACACATTAGTTGAATAAGTGTCACAACGTGAAAATGAAGTGGCATTTTGAAAAGACAGAAAAACACATACCCTGGTAAATACCACACAATACAAACTAACTAAATTAAACAAAACGGCTTCCGATTAGTATCAACATGCAAATCAACCAGAATAGTAATTGGTAATTATTTGGAAATTGCACAGCTTACATACTTGCTAGTTTCATGCCTGTAATATGGTTTGTTCTTTCTAATGCAGCAATGTTTTATGTGTGTGCGTGTGTGTGTGTATTGAAGAGCCGCTGAGCGCAGTATAACAGCTGACAGGTTGGGAACACTGACGCTATACTTCAGCATCTGATCTGATGGCAGACACTAAATAAGGAAAACGTTTTTCTCTCACACTTAAACCGCATCTGACAGAAGTTTAACGGCTTTAACACAAGTCTTTCTTTCTAAATTAAAGTTTTGCATCACAAAAACACTCCATAAGCCACTGAAAACAGTATTGACACCCAGTTGAGAAACGCTGCTCTGGTCGATGACAGTTCTCAATGGTCATAAGCACCCTACTGAAAGGCGCTGGTAACTAATGCACCCTCCATGCAGCAATGAAGAAAAAGGTCTATAGTTGCAGGTAATGTAGTGTGGTTTGGTTAAAAATTATGTTTTAAGCAATGTTCTTTATTTAATATAAATTCAAAATGTTCACTTTATCATCAGTAAATATAATTATTAAATTATAAATAATTCATCATAAATGTACTACATACAGTTGAAGTCAGAATTATTAACTCCCCTCCTGAATTATTAGCCCCAGTTTACTTTTTTCCCTATTTCTTTTTAACGGAGAAAAGATTTTTCAACACATTTTTAATCATGATAGTTTTAATAACTCATCTCTAATAACTGATTTATTTTATTTTTGCCATGATGATAGTTAATAATATTTGACTAGATATTTTTTAGAACACTGTTATACAGCTTAAAGTGATATTTAAAGGCTTAACTAGGTTAATTAGGGTAACTAGGCAGGTTAGGGTAATTAGGCAAGTTATTGTATAACGATGGTTTGTTCTGTAGAATATCAAAAATTATATTTAGCTTAAAGGGGCTAATAATTTTGCCCTTAAATTTTTTTAAACAATTAAAAACTGCTTTTATTCTAGCTGAAATTAAACAAATTAGACTTTCTCCAGAAGAAAAAATATTATCCGACATACTGTGAAAATTTCCTTGATTTGTTAAACATCATTTGAGAAATATTTAAAAAAGAAAAAAAAAAATCAAAGGGGGGCTAATAATTCTGATTTCAATTGTATATTCTATCATTCATATGTTTATGAAGATTCTTTTAAAGGATGCAATTAATACTTTTATTCACAATATGTGCATTAAATTAATAATTATTATTTTTACCATGATGACAGTATATACATTTTTACTATATATTTTTTTACAATACTGGTATTCAACATAAAATGCCATTTAAAGGCTTTACAAGGTTTATTAGGCAAGTCATTGTATAATGATGGTTTGTTCTGTAGACGACTGAAAAAATATATATTGCCTAAGGGGGCTAATAATATTGGCCTTAAAATGTTTTTTTTTAATTTTTTTTTTATAAAAACTGTTTGTATTGTAGCCAAAATAGAACAAATAAGACTTTCTCCAGAAGAAAAAAATATTATAACACCATGAAAACACCATGAAAAAAATCCTTGCTCTTTTAAACATCATCTGGGAAATATTTGAAATTTGTTTGATATATTGTGTTCATATTAAATGTTAAATTATTTTATTATACAATGATATATGCCAAATATATAAGTAAAGAAGTGGCAGTGAGTAAAAGTATTGATGATTTATACTTCAATAAACATATATATATATATTTTTTTTTTTAATCAAAGCATCTTTGAATAATCTACCACTGTTTCCCTGAAAATATTCAAGACTTACACTAGCAACTAGACTGATACACGCTTTTATTTATTTTTGGTTAATTTGTTGAGCATCATGTGACACTTAGGATTGGAGTAGAATTTAACAATTTATAAAATATTAAAATAGAAGGCAAATAAGATGCTACTATTTTATTTACTGTATTTTTGATAAAAAAAACAAAGCCATGATAAGCAAAAGCCTGCAGAAAATGCAAGTGAATATTTGCATCAAGCTATCCACCATCCTGCTTTCTTAGAAACTATCGATCATCCTGCTTTCCAGAAATTTGCATCTACAGAACACACTGTACATTAACCACAGTAAAACTGATATGGGTCTACCACTAATTCAAATGCAAAACCATGTTTCACTTCCACATTGTATATGAAAGGGACATCTGTAAGATTTCGTTTTTAAAGTGCTGACTTATCCATTATCCTAAATGTTTTGAAGAATGCTCAAATTCCAGAAAAATATGCAATTTCTTTAAAAAGCTAAAGTGTGGACTGACATCCTCCATTTCTGCTTGAGGGAAACACCAAAGAGGATTTAATCTTCTTTTTGTTTCATTAGCGTCCGTTTACACCGAACATTTTCTTTTGCGCTGAAAGCTGCGCATCTTTTGAATCATTAACTAACAGCCGCGAGCATTTTGTGCGCTGCTTATAAACCCTGCACACCTTGCGTTTTAACCACCTGCTGCACCTTGCGTTATTGTCGTTGTGCGCTTGCAGTACAAAAAAAGACAACTCTGATCAGAAAAAACGCGCTATGTCAGTAATTCTCCGATCAAATGAAAGCAGAGGCGGGTTTTCCGTTGATGTGACAGCAGTGGCTGTATTGTAAAGACAACTATGGAGACTTTTAAAGATGGAGGAGAGACAAGTAGTTACTGTTTCAAGTTATTAAGAGCTGTATGACTTTACAAATCTTGAATATCCCAATATTATAAAATATTACAATTATTACCAATATATAACAGCAACACTCGTGAACAATCTGCAGCTGATTCAGTTGATAGAACATAAATGGGCTTCTTAGACTGTACAGAGCAATATAACAGAACATTCAAATGTGTTTAGCATAAAAAAAACAGAGGAAAAACCTGAACTGGTGGACTGTAGGGTAATAAAATTGCACTCATCTCTCTAATGAAGACTACAACTCCCACGATTCCACACTCAGTCACAGCATCATCAAAATACACTTTTGTTTGTCATGAATATGCACCCTCTAGTGGTGAAAATGACATACTGTGCCTTTAATTACTGTGCTCTAATTTTTTTTTATTCTATGTTTGATGTAATCTTAACAGAAAAAAATAAAGAGAGGGTGGAACACAAAATAGCTCCTCCCCCTTCAAAAAACAGCCAATAGCCTTTCGTTTTTATCACAGCTCTGCCAGTAAGAGTGGTCTTGCTCAAGCGCATCAAATGAAAGGCAAATGAGAAGCGTCTTGAAGAAGACGAGCCATGTCAGATACTAGAGAGCATTTGATTGGACAATATTTTTGATGGGAAACTAAAGTATGAGCAAGCTTTGTATGTTTATATCAGTTTTATATCTTATAAACACGAATGATATCACTGTTTTGGAGCACATTAGCTAATAGATTTATTTAATTTCACCTTTAAATAAATGAATGAATAAATGAATAAAATAAATAAATAAATAAATAAATAAATAAACAAATACATACATACATACAAACATACATACATACATACATACATACATACATACATACATACATACATACATACATACATACATACATACATGCATGCATACATTCATGCATGCATACATTCATGCATGCAAGCATGCATGCATAAATGAATGAATGAATGAATGAATGAATGAATGAATGAATGAATGAATGAATGAATGAATGAATGAATGAATGTGATGGTCTCATGCAATATTAGGATTGTCTGACCTGGAAGGCAAGGTCGTGATACTTCTGCTTTTCTTTGGGTCCCAGTGCGTACCACCACTCGCCCAGTATTTTACTGACAGTGCGGTTGTCCTGGTTGGGGTGTCGTTGGTGAACCAATGCACGATGCCGCTTACTGAAGATCATGAATGCGTTCATTGGACGCCTGATGTGGTCCTTTTCCCTCTTTGTGCACGTTAGAGAGAAACAGAGAAAGAAGAAATTATACAGTTGTGTAGAACTTTATATAGATGGTAATAAGGGAAATGTTTGTAGCTTGAACACATTGACAAGTTTCCAGGGTATTTTTTCAGTCAACTAAAAAGAGGTTGGGGGAACTTTGCGTTACTACTCAATAGAAAACCAACGTCCTGTTTTATAGTATGTCACTACTGTAGACATTTAGAATAAAACCACAGGATGGAAATGCTAACATAAAACTCACAGTTACCTTCTTGTCACCATCTTTTGGGAGCGCACTGAGAGATTGCGTGCGCCTTTTCACTGGGTTGAGGGATGGAGAAGAGTCTGGAACTACACCTGGTAAAAAACTGAAAAGCAATTAAAAACATTTATTAATAAAAAAGTAGAATTCCATCAAAAAACAGTAACCAAACAGTGAGGCGTTTCTTAAACAACAACATAACTCGCAGCTGAACTATCATAGTATGATGCATCGTTAAGGAAAAGAACGATACAGTGATAAGTGTTTCCCAAAACCGTAGCTGCTTTGTCGCAGATCCATCATTTGAACCACGTCAGTTATATATTTTTCTATAGTCTACAGAACAAACCATCATTATAAAATAACTTGACCCTAGTTAACCTAGTTAAGCCTTTAAATGTCACTTTAAGCTGAATTCTAGTGTCTTAAAAATATCTAGTAAAATTGTACGTACTGCCATAATAGCAAAGATCAAATAAATCAGTTATTAGAAATGAGTTATTAAAACTATTATGTTTAGAAATCTGTTGAAAAAAAAAACTTCTCTTCATTAAACAGGAATTAAGGAAAAGAATAATCAGGGGGCTAATAATTCTGACTTCAACTGTATATTACATATACTACTATTGTGATCAGTTCTGTTTGTGAGCAAAAAAGATTAAGATATTGTCATCTAAATGTTTTGTTTTTTTCATGCCTTCCTCACCCATCCCTCCATGACCCCCTGCTCAATAAGTGAGATGCAAGCAGATATTTACAGGTCGTCAGCGTCACTCTCAGTCTCGCTGTCGCCTCCTTCTCTCTCCACGGGTGGGTCTTCAGCTGAAGGAGGGGGGCAAGACGGGGAGCCTCTCTCTGGTGTTGGATGGTCAGTCAGCCCCTCAGACACAAGGGCTACTCCACAACGAGGCTCTGCAAGTTCATTCGGTTCCAAAACATCAGCTCAAGTATTCTAAATGCCATTTTGTGTCATTAAAGAATATGTTGCAGTTTAAAATGCTAATTTCATTTTTTTTTTTTTTTCATTGATTGTTACCTTTGCTCTGATTTACAAGTGTTTGGCCATCTGCAGGCTGCGTGGACATTTTAGTTTGGCTGGTTTCCAGAAAAGGAACCAATGAATGCCATGCAAACACTGGCACAGAGCGGGGCTCCACATTGGTCCAAACTAAATGCAGAAACAGACAAAAACTTTCACATTTACGCATGACGGATTTAAGAAAACTTGCAGTGCTTTAAAAAAAAATTTAGACTAAAGTGTTAGTCTAAAATGTTAGACTAAAGCTGAATGAACCCATTCATATGTCTGTGTATCAGTGACTAGCGTAACATGTCAGTGAACTGTGCATCTCAGATTAAATACTCATGAGAATCAGGGCGGCCTAATCACTCTCTAGCTGTGCATGTCTGGGCAAGTTCCTGTGTATCATTTCAGACATGCTGCAACTGTCTAAAGAGGCACTGACCCGAAAGCACAGTGCATTCTTCACTACACACACCCAAACACACCTGCTGCTGACCAGCATACCAAAGTCACACTGAGCCCCCCTTATTTTGACACTTTGCCAGACTGAAAGGAATAGAAAGTGATTGTTGGTGTACTTCAACATGCAGAGCAGCATATTCCTGCCAGCACAAACTAATCTAGCAGTTTTTGAATCCTTCTTAATATATAGAAATTGCCTATATAAAGAAATACATCAAATAAATGTATCTTTGGCACTGGAAGAATTTGACTTTTAGATTTTAGTTACTAAAAAAAGCACACAGACTTCAGGAAATCTGAGCAAAGTGTGATAACCTCCTGTGAGAATCACACATGGGAATCATTTTCATTAGAAAAAAAGATAGATTCTCTGATTAAATCTGGTTCTCTGATTAAATCAAGTGTTTAAAAAAAGAAAAAATCATTTGAATTATAAAAGCAATTAATCAGTTTTACGCATACTTGCTAGAAAAGGACTTTTTTTGGTCATTCTTCTTTCTATTTTACGCAAAACAATACAGTGTATAATTAATAAAAACTAAGCATTTGTAAATTTAAATATATTTCCACTCTAGAACTCTGGCAATAAGTAATTTACAAACATTAACATCTCTTTTTTTTGTATTTATCTTTTAGGGATCTTACCAGTGCCAGGCCTTCCCATGATGATGTCTTTGCGAGGAGCAGGGTGAGGGGACTCAGCTGGAAGGATGAGGGGTAACAGGGCTGTGGGTGAAGGATGGCAAGCCACAGGCTGAGGGAGAGCGCTGCCTGCATCCGACTTCCTCTCTTGATCTTTACCTCCTGAGCCAGATATTGCGAGTGCGGGTCCAGTGGTTGCATTAGAAGTGGACACATTCAAAGCGGTAGAATTTGAATGGGTGGGATATCCAGGAGCCACAGGTGCCAAGGACTGAGAGGAGGTCACCAGAACTAAGGTTGGAGCTGGATTTCGGAGAAGAACAGCTCCGTTGGTGGTAGCACCATTAATGGGGACAGGGGCCTGAAGTCCCACAGCATGGTGAGGGGTCTGGCTGTGCTCCCTAGAGCAGGAACTTGCTCGACGACTCAGGGGACTATCGCTGAATTTTGCCAATGGCACATCTGGGTTACGAACAATGACAGGCGAATCTCGTAGGGGAACAATACGACGCGAGCTGGGATCCTGTGGCAGAGGTGAGGGTGGTGTGGGAGAAACCAGCATAGGTGGTGGAGTAGAGGCAGCAGAGGACGAGGGGCGACTTGTGACACTCCTCTGTCTAGGGAATGAAAGAGAAGAGGGGGTAGTAGGCTGGCTTTGTGGGGACAGAACCCTGAATGCTGCAGCATTAATGCTGAGGCTAGGGTCATTGAGTTGGGGATCAGATTTCACATAGTCTGATGCACTGGGCATTGATGGTGGTGGGGCATCCAACTTGCGTTTACTGGGGCTCATGGGTACAGTAAAGGTAAGGTTGGTCGAAAAAGTGGGCACAATGCCGGAGAGGTGACGTTCACGGTCTGTGGTGGGGGTCCCTGGGATCTTTGTGCCACTGAGGTGGCGAGGGCGGCGGGGTGTCAGAGGCGAAGGTGCTGTGATGGGGCTAAAATTAGCTGGGCGGAAGCCAAATAGCGTGGGTGAGGGGGAAGGTGCAGGGGAGAATGGTGACTGATTGGATACAGGTGAGAAAGAGGGTGTGCATGAGCGTGAGCTGCCAAGTGAGACCAGCATATTTGCAGCCTCACACTCATCAAAGTCAAAGCGAGATAGATCACGTGGCAGTTCTTGCGGCATAAGAGAGGTCATCACCAAACGTGGTCGAGAGTCCCCACCACGACTGCTTGCTTCACTGCTGTCTCGGGAGTTGTCATCCCAGTCGTACTCGCTGCTGGTGCGTCCACCTAAACGGAGGTCAGGTGTGAGAGTGCCTGTACTACTGGCCCCACTCCTGTCTCGGCCCACCCCGCCTCCAGCTTCCATCTCCTTGGTACGCATGGAAAGATGCCGTGAACAGTATCCACGCCTCTGTGACTCCTTTGAACAGCCTTCACGTGAGCACAATCTGCGCCACTGTTTGCCATTGAACTTCTTGCGGATACCTGTAGGGGTGCACACCACATCGCCCTTCTTGTACTTCTGTTGAGCAGCTGTGAGGGGTGTGCGAGAACGTGACGAAGAGGATGAGGATCCAGATCCACCCCCTGACACTCCATGTGAGCTGGAGCTGGGGGTTTTGTCAAGGGAGCTTCGAGATGAGCTTGGGGGCAAAGGAGGAAGCTGGGGTGTGGAGATGACTGCAGCACCTGTGGCTGAATCCAGGCCCAGAAGCATATGGGGATGATTTGGATGAGGAGCAAGGGGTAGGTGGGGTGCAATTGGGGGCCCTCTCAGCAGGGGATGGCTGAGGTAGTTTGGTTTAGAAAGAATGGGTCGATTCTGAGAAGGAACCCCTTGAGCTTTGCCATCCATGGCTGCAGTGATGCTGCCATCCCTTAGCTGACTGAGACGACTGACCTCAATGTCATCTCGGTCTCGTTCCCTTTCTCTCTCTAAGTGCCTATGCAAATCTCTTTCCTGATTCTTCTCTCTGTGATGTTCCCAGTCTCTGTTTGGGACTACACTGAGTACAGACGTGATGGCAGTGTTAATGGCAGAAGACGAAGTATGTGGTGAGGTGTAAGGAACTATCACAGGATGTAACAAACTCGGCACTTTATACCCTGGCCTGGTCAGCCGAACAACTTCCTGCTCAACTTCCATGTCATCTCTTTCCTCCCACTCTCGTTCTCTAACCCTCCTACCATCACCCTCTGGCTCTGCTGCCTGGGGTGGTTCTAGGTCCCAAGGAGGAACTAGGAGGCGAAGGTTTTGTCGTGAGACCCAAATGGCTTGAGCACTTATGGCCCTTCCATCGTCCTCTTCACTTCTAATTTCCTTTCTCTCATCAGATACATCCTCCCGTAGCTGGACGCGATATTGACAAGACACAGCTGGATGTTGGTCTACTTGAGTAACTACACCTTCTCTGTACCACTGACGTGTTCCCTCACTCCCCTCATCGTCCCCTTTAAAGGGGATGCAAACACGGGTGCCTATTGCCACTGGGGCCACACCAGGAGGTGACGCATCTAGAATAAGATCAACAGAATCAGAAGCCACTCGAAAAGGGTACTTGCAAATGGTCTTTTCTCCGTTCAGCTGCACCTCCAAACTCCCATGCTCCTCGCTAACTCTCCGTACGACACCAGTGCGAAACACTCCTGATACATCCCGGCCACGATCATGAGGCCAGCCTTCTCCTAATCTAGGACCCTGTCGGGCCAAAACTCTCTGATTCTTAAGACCTTTGGCCAGGACTCCAGCTAACCCAGATGACAGGCTCTCCTGTGTGGGTATTGAAGTGCTATGTGCTTGTGGCTTTTGGGAGTTAGCGCTAGAATCATGTCCAGAAGTTGTCACTTCTATGTCAGCCGAGTGTTCGCTGGCCGTATCTGTGGAGGAGCAACGCTGTGGGCTGGATACACTTGTCCTGTCCCTTTCACCACAATCACTAGCAGTTCTTCCCGTGGGCCCTGTTATGTTATTGTGTGCATACATTGCAATGTTGCCTTCAGCTTGCTGGCTTTGACCGTCTGGGTCTGTATGTGCAGCAGAGGCAGCTGGGACCTGGCTAGTACCAGTACCATTGTGAGAGCTGCTGCTGCTCTGTGGGGGTGTGCTGGGAGTGCTAGCGTTGCCATGGTTTCCGGCACAGTGCTCGAAGGTGTACTTCTTCTTGGGCACACGGGCCTTAAAAGTGGCCGTCTTACGACTAGACGAAGGGTTAGGGCTATTGCTGGCACTGGTCGTGCTACTGTTGCTGTCACTTTGTGTTCCGCCAGACTTAAAGCTCCCAGGGTGTTCCTCCGTCTTCCCCAAATCCACCGCTATACTGAGGACCCCATCACTGTGTATCCCTTCCTTTTCCGGAGAATTGCTGCTTCTCAGTGGCCCTTCCTGTGACGAGTCAGAATTTGAGGAGATATGTCTCTTAGGAGAGGTAGGTGAAATCTGGGTTTTTTCCTCTGTTTCTCTTTTCTCTTCCTGTGGACTACTATCCACTATCCTCTTCTTCACTCCCTTGGCACGAGTAGAGGGAGGAGACCGCCTTTCTTGCTTTTTAATGGGCTTCATCTTTTCTTACTCTAAGAGAATCTCTAATCCTCCTGATTTCCTGTGAGTCCAAGCCTATCAATATCTTCCACTCTGTTTCTCTCTTGCATCCCGCCCCTTCTCTGTCGTTTTCTTCTGTTCTTGCTCAAGCCTCTTCCTGTTTGTGCTGTCCTTTCCTTCTTAAATTAGACCCTGCAACGAAACACAGAACATGAGATGGATCAGTCACTTACACATCACTGAATCCCTTTATAGAGAATACAACGCATTTGTAGTTGTAGTTGTTTACATTTGTAGTACTTAACCTCATCAAAAGACCTTCATAAGTGTGATATACCATAGCATTACAAAGTAGATATTAACCCAAACTAAATACTAAGCACTTTGACTAAGACAGAACACAAAGAAAAATGCTTGCCCAGACAAGTCTCACACACATTGGTTTTTTGGCTGGATTGGAAGAGGCGGGGGAATTCCTTGTTCAGTGGTATTTCTGTGACTCTAAGGCTCTCTCTCACTCGCTCTTTCAAATGACCTTTTTGCATTCATTTCAGAGGCAATCCACCCCTACAGTCCTCACTTCCTGTCAAAGCACTACAACATTCAATGTACACTACAATCTTTACACATTACTACTATACACAGTCTTTCCTCCTGCCAGACCCTTCACCTTACAATGTTATTAGTGTTTTAAACACAATCAAGATATGTTATCAACATCACTCTTTGCATAAGCATATTTAGATACTTACTTATATGTAGGCATGTGACATATTACAAATAATCCAGTGTAGTCAAATGTTAATTAAAGCTTTGAATATCTCAAAAACTGCATTCAGAGTTTATGACCGGTAAATATGACTGACTGGTTTTCATTTTATTACGGAGGTGTATATTATGGTTGAAGGTCAGGACATGAATGACCTCTTTTGATGCACGCTTGAATTAAAGAAGATAGGTCCGCGGTGCAAAACTGTCCCATTCTTGTGAGCAGAAACCACAGTAACCGCACTGCCATTTGCACTGTAAGACAAGTTTGCAGGCAATAAGCAAATGTATGATATGAAGTATATTACCTTCAGCAAGAAAATTACATCATAAAACACTTTACTAAGACCTGTTATGAAATTTATAGCCTGGTCATGTTGATGAGTATAGGTTTGAAAAATTTAACCCTTTTAATCCATATAAGATAACACATAACGTAAAAAAATAGGTTATACTAAAAGGTGAGCTCGGTTTTTGGCCAAATTATACACCGGTTAGAGTATTACACTGACTTCACTCAATATCTCTTTTTATTTTTTGCCCTCATTTTGTTTGGATTGTTGAATAGCATGTTTGTCCATATCATTGCTACTATTATGTTTATATCAGGGTTTAAAATTCGACCATTTTGGCTGCATATGCGCCTGAAATGTTATCTATGTGACCTCAAAATATATTTGGGAGCATTTGTGCGAGTGCATAAAATTGTTTTGTGCGACCAGTTTTTACTACAAAATGTTCACCACATGCGCAGATTTAGGAGACATTTATGCAGAATGCATCTTTGCACTTGAAACGCAGTGCTCAGGAATGGTTTAAAACAGATGTCAACTTGCTGCAGTAAACAAAGCCTGTAATGCTTGCCCCAACTTTGCGCTCTTATTTTTGGCCCACTGCTCTAGAACTGAACTTGAATGGATAGGTTAATATCAGCTGTCAATCACTCAGTCAATGCTTTCTGGCTTGGGATGAGGAAGAGCTCAACTGCAAAAATGCAAATCGCTGAAGATGAGAATGAAAATAACACTGACAGATTTCGTTTTAGAAACCATCTAAAGTTACAAACAATGACACATTTTAGTATTGATCATGAGGTGAAAGTTAATCCACCATCTACACTTTTCGAAGAATGGATAAAAGACTTCAAGTTAGCAAAAAAAATTCTGTGGGATGGAACTTTAAGCAATTTTAACTGTTTGCCACATCTAGCATGAGAGGTTCTGTTTAATCCTTCATATAACGCCAGATGCTGTCCGCCGTGCAAGTGGCAGCTATATGTAAAATTTAACACCACATACACCATCGCAAACTGGCTTGCACTAAGTAAACTAATATCGCTACCCATGAAAAGGCCAGTATTGCTATTAACATGACGTATGCATAAAATAAGGTACAGTATATGTCAAAAGCATCAGTGCAATATCAGACAGCACCAGTGAGAACAGCACAGTTATATCGTTAACAGATTCATCCATGTCAAGCAGTGCGTGCAGGGCCGGTGAGCTATCCGTGTATCATTTGGTCACTCGGTTATGATATGAAAATGTATTTTCTTGTGATAATGGGATTTCGTTGAGACATATTTTCCTCACGCACGCATATTTTTTTGCTTGTTAGTTTGACTAGTGTTGATTTCAAATGCAATAAATCTGTTTACATAAAACTTGTAGTAACGGTGCTTATAATTGGTGTGTGTGACTAAATTTTGGCCGATGCGCCTAATTTTTTTAAATTAGGAGCACCGGTGCTACCAAGCAAAAAGGTTCATTTCGAACCCTGTTATAAGCTTGGACGATATACAAGTGGCGAACCAGTGATCTCCTTGCTGTGAGGCGACTATATGGTATGGGATGTGATACGTTTAAAAATATGTATATAACCAACGTATGTTTCATATTAGTTCATGGGGAAAAAAGCATCACTACAACTTCTGTAAGTGAACAGCCATGCTGCGTAAAACAATTCAGACATTTTAACAGTGGAAACAAACAAAAATGTAATTAAATACATATCACCAAGACTTTGCACTACTGATGTAGTTTTATCTAAAAGCATCAAATTCAATCAAAGAAGCAAAACACTTGAAACAAAGTGGAGTTACATTGCGGCCTTATTGCTTTTTAGTATAGCTTGCTTGGTCATCATAGTATTTCAACATCGATACTAAAATCAACGCAGATTTTTAAATAAGAAAACCAGCATGTCCACTGTGCTTAGTTTCAGAGATGTGCTGAAGAGTCTTTCAGAGGACGTCCTAATGGCAGGCACAAAAATGTACTTTTGTATTATATAATAATTGATATATTTTTATTTAATTATTAAATGTAATTAATTTTATGCAAATCATTGCCTAATACATATTTGTTGCAATCTAAAGATGTTAGTAGTAGAGCTGCACAATATATCGAACTATACTACAAACAACTACTAGCAGCTCTACACAAACATCTTTAGATTACAATTAATATGTATCAGGAAACGGGAAAATATAGTACAAAATTAATATTCTTATTCAGTTCTCAGCGAATATGGGTAATATATTATGGTGCATTTGAACAAATCAGATTCATTAAACAGATATATTTATTAAATCATATTTTAATCACAGAACATCTTTAGAAATGGAAAGATAATACATTTAAATTCATCGAAAATATTGCAAAAAACTACAGCTTTTAAACTAAATTTTAAATATATTTTTGTTTTTCTTGATTTTTGTTATTTTTGAAATTTTTATTTAATATTTCTCCCTAACTTATTAATTTGTGCTACTAATTATTTAACCATTATTGTAAGTTATTTTGTTGGCTTAGCTCCAGATTTGGCTCCAGCACTGACTAAACTAATGTATATGCACAAATATAATAACGTAAAGCATCCTACCAAAAATATTAATTTAAAGAAGAGATTTTGGGGGGGTGTACTCATATTTGCTGAGCAGCATTGTATCCGCTGAGTTCCATATATTGTGCAGCAGTACTACTAACATCTTTACATTATGACATATAATACATTTAAGTTTGTTAGTGCACATTGCTAGTTTGTGGTGAACGATTCATATGTGAAAGTCAATCTGAAAAATAGAAATGCACCACCGCCCTGAAATGACAGACTGATGTCATCAGATTGACACCTCAGAGTGGGCTTGAGCAATCACGTCCCTCCGACTGTTAGCTTTAAAATAAACAAAGTGTCTACTTTACTACATCCAATCAGGTCACAGTAAAAAAGCAAACCACACCCTCTATTTTTCTCATTTAGTATAAAGTTTTTCTCAGAAATGCAAAACAACATACCTACGACTTTCAAGTCACGCAGAATTTAACATTTACAATCAAATGAGGTGTTGCAAAAATAATTACCGCCTACAACTAAATCTAATGTTTTGTATGGCCTCCTTGACTCCTCATTCACCTTCTACAGTGGAATGAACTGCCAATTTTCTTTCTTAATGTTTTACATTTGTTTCTTCACTAAAGAGTAATCATTTAAAATAATTCTGATGATTCCAATATAACGTGAAAAAAAAAAACAAGAACAACACAGATCTATAGCAGGGGTGCCTAAATTTTTCTTGTGAAGGGCCAAAATTCAAACTTGCTTGAGGCTAGTGGGCTGAAGGTACATATAGTTGCCATGGGTCATTTCCCAATTTATTTAATATTATTTAAAAATGACTAGAAAACATTGCTTCATAATAACTAATAAAAACAAAACGATCTCATTTATAACAGAAATACACTAGTTTTTGCCTCGATTTAATCACCAATGTCTTCCGCATAGTCCTCTATCTGTCGAGTGACAGTATTTACACTTTTAAAAATCAGATTCATTTGCAACATTTAATTAAAACATTTAATTTTAGTTTGCTTTTTTGCAGCTCAGCAATAAAACAAACAAAATAAAGCTGCAAGCAGCGATGAAAGGGCCTTGTACTAACAAAAAATGTTACATCAAATTAGAAATGATGACTTCTTTTAAAGTCATTTGACCCACTCATTCTCACTCTTCTCTCAGAAGGGATGGTGGGCCAAATCAAAGGTGACAGTGGGCCAGCTTTGGCCTGCAGGCCCTACTTTGGGCATCTCTGATCTATAAGACCCCTTATACAAAGGTTATATGGGTTTTTTTCTGAGAAATCTGAGAGTGTACTCATTTATACACATTTATATTTTAAATGTTTATAAAACAGACATTTAAATTTTGTTTTGTGGTATCATTAGCAGTAGTAACCATCAACAGTAGCCATATGATGTCAACATGGTGACACCCATAATGCAACTTTAATGATTTTAAAATGCATGGTGCTACCAATAGCAAGGTTGGAGATGAATACTTGATTGCTGTCACATTTAAACTCAATGCACATGAATACATAAATCAATGAAAAGTAAATATTTTCAAGTAAAATGTAAAAATTGCAGAACAGCAATACGTTCATTTGCAATGCACCAAATGACCCACCAAAATACCAACTCAATCTTATAATGACTTGCTAACTGCACAGTAATAAATGTTCCTATGCAACAGGACTCCAAATGAACACAAATGCCCTGAAACAAAGTAAAAGCCCTGTTTCTCATCAACAATGCCACCGCTGTCATCGACTTGCGAAAGTTTTGCTGAGTAGTACAGCGCCGTATCTGTGTCAAGCGCTTTTATTGGTTGTAGTGCCCTACTCTACGCTTACAACCACCTACGACACAGTGGAGTGGCGTAGGCCTCCTCCATAACACAAGGCCGCAGAGCAGTTTCCCGTCTCCCTCAGGCTTCTGAATCGAGGGCGACCGTGCCCATATTATTAAATATGGGAGAAAATACAAAAACTATCTTTCTCAAACATATAGAGAAAGGCTGGAGGATTAAAGCATCCGATTTACACTTACTGAATGCAACTAAAATATATTTAGACGAAACAGTCAAGTTTAAATAACAAAACAATCGCCTTGTCTTTACATAAAAACAGCGGATTTAAGCAATGACAGTCACTGGATGCTAAAAGAATAGACAAAAGCAGTTTGTTGAAGCTGTAGCTGTTGTGTCACACAAACATTTTCAGGAAAAAAAAAGTTTTTAGGCTGACTGTGCACCTCCACCCCTCCCTTTCAATGTGTGTGTGTGTGTGTGTATGTTAAAATGCTTACTCCGCCATTTTATACAATCCACTAAAGAAAAAATAAACAAGTGACAGCGAAGCACTGTGTATGGATCCGCGACGTAAAGGCAAAACACAGCATTAAACATATAGGCAGATCACTGCAGTGCTGCAGATGAAAGGTTTCAACTCACCCCGTGGATATTTACATTGCCGTCGAAATGGTGTCGATGCACAAACAGAGCCTATAAAACCGCGGAATCCCCGAGAAAGGTTTTGCAAAGAGTGTTTTTCTTCCGCAAACGAGAAAAAGTCCAGCCGTTGAGGTTCCAGGGTACTCTACAGTCGCAAAATGGTGAATGAAGCACTAAGCCTTGACAACCAGCGCCGAGAGCCAATCAGCGTCCACAAAACTGTACAGTAGCCTGTAGCGGCGACGAGGGCGGAGCCATCTGTCAAAGTCCGCTTGATTGACAGGTCGTTCGGGCCAATCGCGTTATGGGAAAACAAGAAACAGCTGGTTGATCCTGAAACGGCAGCAGCAAATGGGAGTTAAAGGGAGGGGCAGCCGAAGGGAGTAGGTGGGCGATACAGAGAAAATTATCAAAATTTAAAATTAGCATTTAATGCATCACTGCACAAACCAGTATACATAAGAAAATCCCATTTAAAAAGTATACAAGTATATATATATATATATATGTGTGTGTGTGTGTGTGCGTGTGTGTGTGTGTGTGTGTGTGTGTATAAGTTAATTTATATAGATTTTAAATATAAGTAGTATAAGTATTATATATATATATATATATATATATATATATATATATATATATATATATATATATATATATACATATATACATACACATACACATATATATATGTTCCATTCATTAATTTATTTTCTTGTCGGCTTAGTCCCTTTATTAATCAGGGGTCACCACAGCGGAATGAACTGCCAACTTATCCAGCATGTGTTTTACGCAGTGGATGCCCTTCCAGCTGCAACCCATCACTGGGAATCATCCATACACTCTCATTCACACACATACAGTACGGCAAATTTATTCAATTCACTGTTAGAGCATGTCTATGTACTGTGGGGTAAACCGGAGCACACGGAGGAAACCCACGCGAACACAGGGAGAACATGCAAACTCCACACAGAAATGCCAACTGACCCAGCCGAGGCGTGAACCAGCAACCTTCTTGCTATGAGGCAACATCACAACCCACTGCACCACCGTGATGTCATATATATGTCATATATATATATATATATATATATTATATAAATAATAATTTTTATTATTTTTTATATAATATATTGATTAAATAATTAAGTTTAATAATACACTAATCATACATCAGTATAATATATATTTATAACTATATAAACTAATAACAAAAATTAAATAAAAAAAATTCCCATAAAATGTAGACTTAAGACTTTAATATTAGACTTGAATATTAGTTTCCATATTGTTTATTATTAATATAATAGTCAGTTCTGATGGAAACCCCCTGGTAACTTTGCTTTTGAAATGGGATTTTCCAACAGGGATGAAGTTTAGGTAAATAATGAAGAGTAAAAAAGTTCGTTTCTTTGTCAGAACATATTTCATTCAACAAAAAAGAAACCTAAAAAGAAAACCAACCACAAAAACTCCTGGTTCATTCTACACTTTATATACCTCGACGAATCCAGCCAATCACAGGGCAGCTTATGACGTCAGCGGCAACCTTGAGCCCGCCTTCCTCAAGGCAGCGTCATCAAGTCGACCCGTGATTGGCCAAACCGCAGGGGTCTCCAGACCAATGGCCAAGCCCTGTGATGAGCTCATTATGCCTGTTGCCATCACTGCAGCCAAACAGGAAGGGTTTCTGACTAAATTACTCTAAATGAAGCCTTCAAATGCACTGCCACAGAGTGTAGCACATCCATATTTCTGCATTGCAAATTGACTTTTAATGTGATTGTATCGTAGTGGGTGGCCATGTTTGAATAAATGTGTGGTCTCAGCTCATGCAAATGTTTGTGGGTGTGTGTATGTGTGTGTGTGTGTGTCTGTGTGTACTATGGAGATCATCAGTGTATGCATCACAGCTCAGCTGGACCGTCACGCACCCTGCATGCAATTATGGCATGCAATGAAAAGTTGCATAACGCGCACACAGAAACACACAGTGCTCCCTCATCCACACACACACACACACACACGCTGTAATCTCTAAACACACGCCACACCCTGTGCTGTTGTTCAGTTATAGCTCCTGCCAGGGGTTGACGTTCAATACAGATATATGTTTATATACGAGCAGCTGTTTGTCTTGTGTGGTGTTAACATTTAACTATGATAAGGATGATCAGGAGTTATGTCAACGCTCAAAGGCCAGTTTCGTCCTGACCTATAAAACCAAGCGAAAACGAAAGGAAAGGAGATGGCTAAATGTAAAACAGTTTGTCATACTGAGACTTTCAGGTTGACTAGTCTCACACTTTGATGAGAATATCATCAAGAACAAAGAAGGCTTTGAAAGGGCTCTGGTGTACATGCGGCCTATTTGAGTATTTGACTCATAGCATTAGTAAACAAACATCTACTCTGCTCTGACTTAAAAACAAACCCTCACAGACATTCACATGTACACCGGAGTATTTGAGGATCTCGAGTGTAGATCAGAAGAAGAGCAATAATACCATAAAGTAAGGTAACATCAAGGTGGAATCCAAAATATCTATCTATCTATCTATCTATCTATCTATCTATCTATCTATCTATCTATCTATCTATCTATCTATCTATCTATCTATCTATCTATCTATCTATCTATCTATCTATCTGTCTGTCTGTCTGTCTGTCAATTGATCCATCCATCCATCCATCCATCAATCTATAGTTGAGTTAAAAGAAGTTTAAAAGTAATCCAAAAGTAGTCTGAATATCTAAAATTGATGGATGGATTGTTGAATGAATGACGGATGGATGGAATTTGCATGACAAAAACTCATCAATTAAATAATCTAACTTATTTTATGTATTCAGATTACTTTTGGGTTACTTTAAATTACTTTTAATTTGCGTTAAAATTAGTCTAAAAGTCCAAAAGTATGTTTAATACATTATATAAAATAGACTGATTGATAGATAGATGGATAGATGGATAGATGGATAGATAGATAGATAGATAGATAGATAGATAGATAGATAGATAGATAGATAGATAGATAGATAGATAGATAGATAGATTTTTTTATTTAATATATTTAAATAAATTGGATTACTTTTAAACTACTTTTACCTTATTTTTTATTTTTATTCTATCTATCTATCTATCTATCTATCTATCTATCTGTCTGTCTGAATGCAGATAGATGGATGGATGGATGGATGGATGGATGGATGGATGGATGGATGGATGGATGGATGGATGGATGGATGGATGGATGGATGGATAGATAGATAGATAGATAGATAGATAGATAGATAGATAGATAATCTCCAGCTTATTTTAATGCATTCAAAATACCTTTGGATTACTTTTAAACTACTTTTAACTAACCTTATCCTTTTGTCTTTATCCATTTATGTATGTTTTCGTTTACTTCACATTTTCATGTTAATATTGTGAATATTTAAAACTAAATTATTACACGAAGCAGTTTAATAAATAAAGAGGAGGATCAATTATGAATAATTCACTTCCATTGTGTAAATAATATATAATCATGTAATCCACAAGGAAGTCATGGTAATCTGATTATGAGCATTGTAACTGCATCTAATTACAATATTATAACTTAGATCAGTTAGTTGCAGAAAATAACAATAGATAATATAGAATATAAAATCCTATATTTTGAGTCCTTAAAAAGATAAAACTGAAAGTGATTTACTCACCCTTCAATGAGCCCGAACCTGTTCGACTTGAACTCAAAAGAAGATATTTTGAAGAAAGATGGAAATATGGCACTTCCATAGTATTTTATTTGTTTTTCTTGCAATGAAGTCAATGGCTACAGGCTTTAAGCTTTCTTTAAAACATCTTTTATGTTCAACAGAAGAAATAATCTCATAAAGGTTTGGAACCTCTTGGGAGAGTAAATTTACATTTTGGGGTGAACTATCCCTTTAAAGTTTTAGGGTAGTAGTATGTACCTAATTTTTAAAAAAATAAATAATCATAATATTACATAGAAAACATTATCAGAACTTTATAAAATAAAATAAAAAACCAAAAGCACATACTATTAATTACAAGTCGAGTCATACAACTGTAATAACTTTAAAGTAGTCCGTTTCAGAGCAGAAATAAATAGTTTCTGACACTGAAGCAACTATTTATTTATTGCATCCATTTCTTTTTTTGGATACATTTAAAGAAAGTCAAAAGTCAGTCAGAGTGCCAATCAATCTAGCCAAATACTAAAGAATCACACCATGTCTTCAAAGCACACAATCACAGACAAATTAGACCTCTTTGTTACAACCAACCATTGGATGGTAAAGCCTTATTTTCCAGCAAAACGTAACCTTTGACCTCCCCTTAACAGGTCAACGAGACTCACAGCAAGAACCCAGGCTTCCCTGTCAGTCAAGCAATCGTTGACCCAAACTCCCCCACCTTCACCCCATTATTATGAGCTTTGTTGAACTGAAATGAAAATGTATTTACATTTCTATAGTGTTTGTGATTAAAAACTGCTAGCTAAAATGTAGCTAATCTTAGCAAATGTGTTATTTTAACTTTACAAAAATACCACAATGGCAGGAAGACACATTTTGGTTGTTTTATTGGTTGAAATACTTGATCAAATACATTGTTTTTGTAACTAATTATGCTTAATGACCACGATAAAAGTGATTTGGCTTTTGGTTATGGCTTGTAAAGTGCTTAAAGGACACATTTACATATTTAACAACTTCATAAGTAATGTGATTTGCATTACTGCCTTCATCCCGTAGCCAAATAATACAATTTAATTTAAGTTTCTTGATGAAACGGCATGTTATTTAATCAAAATGGTACTTCAATTTGCTTGAATTGAATGCTGCAACCAATATCATTGTCCACCAGGCCAAATAAATAATTCTCATTTCATTTGTACACTTTCTACACTCTTAGCTGTAAATAATAGCTAATTTTCTTTCCTTTTTTGTACAAACTACAGTGGATATCTGGCGACCCATATTTCCTTAATAAAACCGTCACTATGAGGTAAAGGTTACGTTAATGTAATGTTTAAGATCTGATTTATTTTAACTAGCATTTGAAATAGGCCCGAGGTTCTCTTATGGCTTAACTTACTTGTCATTACAACCGAACTGTCAGCAAAAGTAGCTTCATTTTCATTCGCGACACTCGTGAATAAA